TCTAATTCATCTTATAACGCTGGCGGTGTGACTGACTGAGATGTTTGATTGCAGCAAAGGACTGGCCAATAGTGTGTGAGAATTCCTGCAATTTTGAGTGTGTGTGTGTGTGTGTGTCTGGCACCAGCAGCAGAGCTGGCAGAGACAGGAAGTGATGCGTCAATTCTGGCGGGCGACAGAATGTGTAGGTGGAGTCTATTTTAAGACTCAGCTGCAAGAGGACAAAGCTCTCTGATACATCTGGCCTTGTGTGTGTGTGTGTGTGTGTGTGTGTGTGTGTACTGTTAACAATGCAGTTGTTTGACAGGAAAGGATGCTTTACGTCTTTTAAATGTCCTTAAAGCCAACATATAATTGCATTTTCCCGCAAAAATCAAATTAGAACAGATTTTTTAAATTGTGTTTTTATCTTCCTTATGGCTCAGACAAAGGCCACCCAGTGTGTGTTTGAGTAGGTGGGATACAGACCGACAAACGGAGAGGAAGAGGAAGGACAGATGTGAGGAGAGGGAGGGCTGCAGGAGGAGCGGAAGGAGTAAAGAAAAAAAGGAGGAATGTCAATAAAACGTGACCACATGGGGAGGGGGATGAGGAGAGAACAGCAAATTGCTGCATGTGTGTATCATAGTCTACAGCAGTGACGTAGCGCTAGACGTAGACAGAGAAGAGGAGAGAGGAGGATTGGGGGGGGGGCAGTTTGAGGATGTTCAACGAGGAGGCATTTCATTCCAACATTTTTAAATTCTCACAGATTGTGTGTATTGAATTGAGAATAGTCTGATCTCTGGGCTGCTTCAGAGCATTTAACTCTCCGATCCGTGTGTTCTTGCCTGCTGGAAGGATTGAGTAGTTATTCATTTAAAACCACTGCGCCACCAGCGCCCCAATTCATTTGTTTTAATGGTAAACATGCTGTTATTTATCTGCTCTTAGTTGTACACATATGACCATCAAGAACTGCCTCTCTAACTGTAGCCTATAGTACGGAAGAGAATTAGGACTACTGAAAACATTTGTTTTGGTTCTGACTTTTTTTTTTTAGGATTCTGACTTTAATCTCAGAATTCTGATTTTAATTCTGGCTCTGAAAAAAAGTCTGAATTCTGAGAAAAGTCTGAATTCTGAGTTTAAAGTCAGAATTCTAAAAAAAAAAAAGAGACTGAACCAAAACATTTTTGTTTCACTGGCCCTAATCCTCTTCTGTACTATAGTGACCCATCTTCTATATTGTAAAAAAATATACTATTGCAATGGCTTCTTCTACTCTGGTTTTTATTTTATTGTATGCTTTTTGGTGTTTGATTGCTATGTGGTGAGTCTGATGTACATCGGGTGCATGTTTTAATGATTTGATTTTTGTATGTTTTCCATGGTTGTTGAAATAACTGTTTCCTGTTTTCCAGTTTTTTTTCCACTATGTAAAGCACATTGAGCTCACCTGTGAGGAAGTGTGCCTCATAAATAAACTTTCTACTGTATTGGAATACAGTAGAAAGTTTATTTATTAGGCACACTTGTTCTCAGAGTGCACTGGTGTGTCAGATGTTAAGTTCCCCCTGGTCCTCCTTTACGTGTAATGGTACTCGTATTAAATGTAGTTTCATTCTAGCGCTTGAGGCCAGGGTCCTTCAATTGATGACGTGGCTCCACACCACAGAAACCAAACAATAGCTTGCAGCTGTAGTCAGCCAGTCCCAGGCAACCAGTGCGGGTCATATAGCTTAGTTTATCCCATGGCAGGGTGGACGGGTTACTCTCTGATGGAAGCATAGCCGTAAGTCGAAGAAGCACGGTTCCCCATCAACCACTTGATTTTGCTGATAAATTTCCCTCGCTCAGCGATACACCCGCTGAGAGAAAAACTCAGATTGTGTGTTTCTTTGCTTTAACGATGTCAGACTCCATAATGTCCTGTGTTCTTATAAAATGTAGTCCTTAGCGCTGATAAAATAATCGTAAGTGACTTAAACTTTTATATGGGCGTTGATAATGATAGGAATAGCACAGGTTTCTTGTTACATTCTTGTTTTATTTTTACAGTCTATGGTTTCTTGTCATTATTGGACTCAACAGCCCATTCACTAAAGGTTAGTCTAATAATGCTATAGCTTCAATCAAGGAAGCCATTCCAGTTGCTTGACATAATTACTTTTGATTCTTTGTATCTGACCTTGGCTGTGTCACTTTGGTCTGTTTGTGTTGAAAACATTGTCATCAGTCACTCACTTATGTAGGATAGTATGGTTGTGGTTTGGTACAGTATGTACATCACTTTGTTAAAATTTGAACTTGTGATAAATACCAGTGAGCTACTAATATTTCATGTTGACTCAGCACTTTAGTCTGTATGAATGGAAGCTGCTAAGAGCATCAGTCAAGGGTCCCTGTAGTTTCTCTAAGGCTGCTATATTCAGTGCCTCTTACCTTTTTTTTCTCATTAGCTTTTTTTTGTCTTTTTTATTTTTCTGTCCTTTAATGCCTTGCTGCAAAACCATTTGCCCATCAGGGACAAATAAAATGGAAGTTGATTTGATTGTCAAATTATTGAACAGCACAAACAGCTCTGAAACCTCATATTGACCTTGACTATTATTTTTACAAATTTACTTCGCCGAACTCAATCATTCTTTCTTCTAACCTGTCTCCAGACCCCATTCCAACTAAGCTGATGCAGGAAGTCTTTCCCTTAGTTAGCACTTCTTTATTCACAGTCATTTGAAGTAGCTGTAATTAAACCTTTTCTTAAAAAAACACATCTTGATTCAGGCATCTTAGCTAAATAGAGTATACTGTAGACCTATAGATCAGTTTCATTTGTTGTTGTTGCTCTTAATCTCCAACAAGGACATTTTTTCCTCACCACTGTTACTTTACTTAATGGTGCCAAGTACTTGGCTCATGATAGGTTAATGTTGGGTCGTTGTAAATAATATAACAAAGAGAAGTGTCTGGACCTACTGTATTTGTAAAGTGTCTTGAGATTGCATGTGTAATAAATAGGCACTTTACAAATAAATATTGATTGATCGATTTAAAAAAGTAATAATTATGATCTTCTTGTATTTGTTTAATCCAGTGTGTTACTGTTTCTGTGTGTCAATGGGTGCAAATAATAAGCAGACAGGAAAACAGGTAGAATGCATTCCTCTGGTTTATTCTGGTTCTTTAGGAAGAGTTCTGTTTGAAATTACAAAATGCACTGGTAGAAACTGCAGAGAAAGATAGAGAAAGAAACAGAGTGGGAGAAAGAGATGGTCAGGGAAGGAAAGAGGGAGAGAGAAAGAAGGGATTTCATAGCTGGAATAAACGGGAATAACATCACCAGATTCAGTTTCAGGCATCTCTTTACTCTCAAAGGGATTGTTTTTCATCAAGGAAAAAGTTTTGTATTCCTTCTCCCCCTTTTTTTAAATATTTTTTCTTCCTTTTGTAATGTTAGTTAAAGTGTTATCTATCCTTGTCCCCCCCACAGTTTACCCCCCGTGAAATAACTGGCAAATATAACAAACAAACATTCTTTGATTCATCACCAAAGTCATTTCCATTTTTTTATCAGGATGATTTTTTTTTAAAGTTTTTATTATATTTTTTTGGTCAAGTTTTTTGGCATTTTTTGTTTTTAAAAATAGAAGAAAAAAAAAAGAAACACATTGCTCTTAAAAACATCTATCTATATATATTTTTTACATAGCCTATATATACTTTTTTCTTTATATTTATTTTTTTTATTCCTGAAGTCGACTTGTTACCCCACATAGTGGCATGCACATTGCACATGCAAATCTGTAATTAAATACTTCTCTTTTATCTTAAATTGCCATGTATGTTTTATTTTTTTCTCCCCCCTCACTTGCTGAGTGAATCCTGTATGTTTTTCTACTGTGGCACTGGTTCGGTTTCTACTGGGTCGAGTTTATGATGATTTGCTTGGTGATGGAATGGATGGCTGGTAGTTGCTTCAGAGATAATCCCAAATGCATTTCTTCACCGACAACAATGTGATGCCTTGTGTGGGGATTTTATGAAATATTTAACCCCTTGCTGCTTCTTTTTTTTAAAAGTATGGTTGAATATTTTTCAAAATGGAATCCAGTTGAAGTGCAGGCAGAAATGGCACAATCTTTTGCTGACGTTTTAGAGAAAATGTGGCTTTAGCAAAACCAAAGCCAGTCCAATCACAGGCAACATTAATGAATCAATTGATTTCCCTGTGAAAAAAAACAACAACAAAAAAAAACAGATAAATGTCAAATCAGTGCTACAAAGGGTTACAAAAAAAGACAATAGAAATCGTACTTATTTCCTGATTTTGTTTCACATTGAGTTGTTTTGACGTGAGTTCACCAGAAAGACATAAGGACAAAACTTCTGAGAGCAACTTGTTTCTACTGGGTTGACGGTGATGAAAAAAACCCATTGTTGAGTCAAGGAGTAAGAAATAAATGCAGTGACTGATGGAAACGGAGAGAGGGGCCTTGAGGTTTGCTGTGGCGACACCAGGAGACAATCACCTTTGTCTCTAAGGAATCAGTTTTACTTTAAGTCAGCACAGAGAAGTAATGAGCACAACAAGTATCAGGGATAAAAGTTTTGATAACATGCACCAAATCCGTAGTCATGCATCCATATGAATGGCATTATCACTGAGCAAGGAGTGTTAGCTTTAAGCTAGCAGCTGTGTTTCAAAAAATGACTAAATTAGGCTATTATTTTATGGTATAATTAATTTTAATTAGTGCATATATCATATTTATCATCTCTAAAATGTACATCAAGAGTTGTTTAAACACTCTGTATCTGCCTAGCCAGCACTAGACGAACAAAGTTATCATCTAGCTACCATTTAAAGCAGCTTAGGAGCCTGATCTTAATTTCATCAGGCAAACACAAGCTCTGCTTCAAAGCAATCCTACAAGTGCTGCATGTGTCAGTTTGCTAACAGTAAGCTGGATAACCCTATCATGCCTCAGTAGCTAACAGTTAGCTGCTTAACTCTTTAACCATCATGCATCAGTGGCTAATATTAAGCTTGAACTATCATGCCTTGAAAGCAATTCATTGCAAGTTTATGCTTTAAGTAATCAGCACTTTTTTTTAAAGATTGTTTTTCAGGGCTCTGCCTTTATTTTTAGATTGGAAAGGCATAGAGTGATAGGAAATGTGGGGAGAGAGCGTGGATGACTTGCACCTAATAGCATCTGGATTGGGGGCTGAACCCCAATCCAACGCAACAAGGCAAACCTTGTTCCACCAACAGGGCAAAGCCAGCACCCCTTAATCAGCAGTGTTTAAGGCAATACTATATCTGTATTTCTTTTTAAAAATAGTCTGAGCCCTTGCAGTTGGTAGTGCATTTATCAAATAAGTTCATATTAGGTCACATTAGTGCTTAGCTCAGTTGATGCTTCTTCAAACAAATTCATGAAAGTGGAACTCTGTGCGATTTGGAAGTTAGAAACTAGAGGGACCAGATGTAGGCTACTTTTTGTTGGGAACAGGTGTAGACCAAAAGAGCTGAAGAGCGCATCAGTATTTGACATTATTTAAAAGCCTCTATGAATGCTCAATGTTGCTCCGTGTCTGCTGAACGCATCAGAAAATAACAGCACTTTGGCCGTCAAGCATTGGTATCTAACCATTAGCAGAGTAAAACTTTAATCCATCACGTCTCAATACCTAATTGTTTCTCTATTGTTAGTTTGTAAACAGGCTTTCTTTGGTTATTTGAGAAAACTTATCATTTTAAGCAACTAAATTATAGTTAACATTTTGTGCATTTAGCAACAGCACCTGTACGTGTCTTGAGATAACATTTGTTATAAATTGGCTCTATGCAAATGAAGAATGACTGATTGACTCGTAAATGGCAGAAAGTGTAGATAGCAACTAGCTGCCCATGAAACAGGTAGACTATACAGTACCAACTTTGGAGACGAAAATAACAAAGTGGCATAAACAATTGACATAAATTTGTCACATGGACACAGACAGACACAAGTCCATGTCAATGTCTATTTTGCTTTGTGTCTGTAGCCAACTGTTAGCCAGTTATGGTTTTTGGCAATTATTTGTGACTAGTTAACAGCCAGCAGTAGCTTTAGTTATTTTTAAATATAATAAATTTGGTATTTTTCCTTCTTTATTTGTACACAAGCTTTCTTTGTCTTGTGAATACATTTTGTTATTTGACAGAGCATATTATCAGGTGGAGGAAAGACTGATTTAAGTGCAGAAATGATCAAAAATATCATCCCTAATATTTGCTGAATTCATAAAGAACTGAATGTGCAGACAACGACAAATCCACATCATTTCAGAGTGACGTTCTCAGACAAAACACACCCACACATACTGGCATGGACTCATTCAACCTACGCTGCGTACAGAGACATGCTGTACACCTTGCATAAAGAGTGATAATGGTGAAAGCTAAATCCCACCACCTTGTGTTTATGAATGGTATTACATGAGGAATATGAGCAGAAAGAACATAATGTGACCATGCTGAAAATAAAAAATAAAACACAGCCAGAGGAGATGGAATTAATGAAGATGAACCCGTGAGTTTTTCAGAAAGTTTATGGATTATATACACAGGAATTACAGTCAAAATATACAACAGACGCAAGGAAGATAATGAGTGTGAGAAATGACAGAATTTTCTATCCCACCCTCTAAAAAAACCCCTCACCCATCCAGGCTTTTTTGAATGATCCCAGAAGGAGATAAGGAGTGAGTGAGTGAGGGAGGGAAGGGGATGAAGATGGGAATGAGGACATGAAAATCTTGATTGCGTGCACTGGGACCATCTCAGAGGGAAAAATCGTTGTGTCCTGTACAGTTTAAGGCACTGCGGGTTACCTACTGTAGCTGATGGTGTCAGGACACTTGCACATAAGAACACAGACGCATATAAAGAACACAGACACACACATCACACACACACACACACAAACCAAAATGTTTATAAATGGGATTGTAAATAAATATTTAAAACAAATCATTTTTAATGTATTGATTAAAATGATAATTTGTTGGTTCTAGGATTACGGACTGTCTTTGTCTGTTTGATTATGTGCTAAAAAACAAAACTCTTTAGTTGTTTACCATCTATTTTCACAATGTGACCTTTCTCTGTATAATTTGCAATTGGTACTAACAGTAACTTCTCCCTCCATTGTAATTTATAATTTGCAACTTGATATAATTGGTTATTAGTCAGGTTTGCTGTTATTCTTATTTCAAACTACAAGATGTACAATGTGTATTGAGCCTTTCGGGAACTTAAATTCCCTTTTGGTAAAAAAAGAAAAGGATTTAGAATTAAGAGAAAGCCTTATTTTTAAATTATAAATGGGTGTATTCCAGCAAAGTCCAAAAACAACTGGAAATGTATGAAGTGTACAAATATTGGCTTTTATTAAAAACTATTTGGATATTTTATTAACAACATGACTAAGTGTTTAAACATAAAAAAATAATTTGCCAGATTAATCAATAGTTAAAATATTCAGCTATAGCCCTAAATATGCTCATTCAGACCTCAGAACACTTGCAAACATGTACACTGACAAACTACCATACACACACAAACACACAGCATAAGCAGTAGTGTTCTCCTGTTGCAGCCCCCCTCAAAGTGTGACCATGTGTGGATCGAGTGACAATGATGAAATGTCTTCTGAGCATGAGGATGAGCCTGAAAAGTGGTCCAGTGCCACTGTGATATTGTGTGTTAAAATCACTACAACCTCTGCTGCTGCACTCCCTCCCACAATCCCCCCCGTCCATCCCATAAACGAACATTCTAATTATCAAAACCTCTCTCATTGCTTTTTGACCCACCCGCCTTTCCCTCCCTCCATCCCTGCCTTGCTCTCAACTCCCTACACACACGCATGCACACATCTAGTGCTGTACAAAGGGGAGACCACGGCGTGGCTTCAGCTACATAAGCACAACTTTTGGCAGCACAACTGTACATTAAAACCCACTGTGTACTTTTTTTTTTAAAGAGAGCCCTTAATAGTGTTTTTGTCGACACATTGCCTCAAGACTGACCCACTGACACAATTTCACAGCCGACTGAGTGGATGGGTTGGTTTGTCTTGTTAATTTTTCTTTTACCCCATTACATAGAGGGAAATTCAAAGAAACCCGGATTAGTTAGAGGTTTAGACTGATGGGTAAACATACAGAAAGCAGATTTGGAGAGAAGCCATGACTGAGAATAAATCTTGCAACACCCCTAAACCCCATTAAAAAAAACCCTGCCAAACAAATATTAAGATAAAGAAAGAATTGTATCCACTCCTACTCCCCAATGGTAGTGTTCTCGGAAAAGCAAAAACACAACTTGATTTCACACAAGGGCATTGTTGTGCATTGTTTGGATCTGCTGTTACAATTCTGGACAAGCAAGTGGTGTTGTGGAGCCAAAATGGAGGTGGGTTTTTTCCTGCCAGTCAACACACTTGACCTTGTCAAGTGTTGGTGTGTCTGCAGGCTGCTGATGGGGAAGTGGAGGGGTCAGAGTGTGAAATATGAGTTAGTGACAGGAGGGGGTCTGGGTGGGGTTAACATATTGTCTGAACCCATGCCAGGTAAAACCATACAATAACTCAATGTGTGACCTGCTTTTTTTTTTATAGCTGATTCTTTTCTACATTTGCTAACTAGCTAGCTACCTAACTCTAGTTGGACCTGAGAAGTAAGCAAACTGCTTTGCACCTCTGTAAACCTCATACTACACCTTCTGAAATGTTACCCACGACATGTCTTGGATGGACACAATATGCAAAAGCTAACACTACTTAATAACATACAGCGAGTGCTCAAACTTTGGTGGATTGAGTGTCAAACAGGCAAAACTTCAGCTGGACTGTTCGCTGACAAGTGGTGCAGTCAAGGACATTCTCATTGAGAAGACCTGAAATCATCAGGTTTTTTGCTAGCTCTTTCGCATCGCTTTTTGTGAAGAATTGGTATAACGGGGGGGGGGGAAAGCCAAGAGGCCTAGCTTGTTAGCAACATCAATAGTATCAACAATTAATATTCTCTCTGACTTGGTTCTTTATTTTTGGTTAACACAACAATCTTTTTGTTTGAAAGGGATTTTGAATAATCTAAACCCAGATTTGATAAGGAATCTTCATCATCTACATCAAGGCTAGCCTCATTGCTGTTGCCTCACAGGGCCCAGTCCTCAAATTACTGCTTGCAATATTTCTATGTTAACATGAGAGGCAGTTAGACTTGACTTTTAAGGCGTAGTTTGGTTGATCACAACAACTACAGAGTGTACATGGGGGGGGGGATAGGCGGGAGCGGCTAGAGGCGAGGAGATTTGCGTACTGATGACTATGACTGATACAGAAGGCACTGTGGCTCTGTAGGGGTTCCTGCCTAGCCTCTCTTGAGGGGAGGGGAGGGGAGAGCAGAAGGGTTTTGGGTGTGCGCCCCTCGACTTCTGTTGAACAAATTAACAACCAACAAAACAACCCCCCTGCTTTCCAAATCTTTACTACACTATGCTTAACAGCAGGACTGGAGGGAAAACATTTCAGTTTTTTCAGTGTGTGTGTGTGTGTCTGTGTGTGTGTGTGTGTGTGTGTGTGGGGGGGGGGGGTCAGCTGGAAGTACTTGAATGAAAAAGGTTTTGTCGTGGGTGTGATGTCATGAGACGTGTGCAAACGTGGTGTCAATCTTCACATTTTCATAAATCAGAGTGCTTCTATATTATTATTCCCTTTTACAGCATTGCAGTTAATCCTCTGAAAGAATACTACGAGGACGCTTATGAGGTCTGCATAGTCAGAACACGTGGGCAAGGGTTCATTTTCTGGCTTGATCGACTGTGAAGAAAACAGTGCAAGGTTTCCAAGAGTATCTACTGTGTCATGAGCGGTATGCAAAATAAATAAATAAATCTTTGAAATTCTTATTATTAAAAACTTTGTTATCTATAACTAAATCTACTGTATTATACCTAGATTATATGTAGTTTATCATCTATATTTATCTATACTTTATCTTCATGTCCTAGAGTTATTGAATATTCTATAATTGTCCCTCAAAAAAAGAAGGATGAAATAATTATTCCTCAGTGTTTCTGTCCTGTAATGCCTTTAGTGTTACTCTCTTGCAAGCTGAAATAACAGATGTCAAAGCAAATGGACAGAAAATAATTAAGATCGATGAGGAAAGAGAGGTCTGTGGATACTGAAGTGGCTTTTGGCAGAGGAGATTTCAGTTTGGCTACAACCTTGAATGACTGGATTGGTGATTTGGTGACTGTTCTCTGGTTATCCAGACCTGAGAGAGGGGGCTGGAGGGGCCTTGGGGTCAGCATTGGCACAGACAGGCAAACAAAGGACGGACTGACAATCGGACAGATATGGCATCTCCAAGGCTACATCCAAGTTTCCTGACTAGGACTGGACTTCATGTATCTTCCAATGATGTAAGAGATAGTTATAAGCAGGGATCTCACTCCAGGTCTAGAAACCAGGATGTGGCCACGAGGCTGTCCTGTCGAGGGGGAAAGGCAGGCAGAATAATGTGTGTTGATAACTGCCCCCCAGGGGTTAAATAGGAGAACACCACCACATAATACTGACACCAACACGATACCACCAATACTGTGCTGTCAGGAATCAATCTCACTACAAAGCTACAGAACCTGACAGAGGGAAACATTGAGATTTGTTATTTTTTGGCTGCCAGTGGAAGAATTCATCCTTTGTAAAACAGGCTTGATTGAAATCTCTGCAGTATAAAACTCTTCCACTTCTCAATGTTCTGGTTTACCCTTTCCTCTGAGCCTGAATTCTTGATCTTTGGGTTGGTTTGACAAGAGTACTGACCCCATAAATCCTTGCAAGTCAAGTACCAAAGCTCCCCTGCCCTCCAACCTTCTGAATAGAGAGTGTATCTTAAGAGTTGCGTTACAACACGCAACCCTAACGATTGTTCCTATGCCACAATTGCACCAAATGTTGCAAGAAAGCATCAGGAACCCGGTAAACGTCATTGAACGGAGGGAGATCAAAATATAATGCATGTAAACAAAATGGACATAGCATACTTAAACCCCAAATAACATGACTACAAATCTACAGCAACATATCATCAATCATCATTTTCATCATCATCATTGTCATTGTCATTTTGCATTGACACTGATATCATTATTCATAAGACTATCATCATCAAAAATAATAAATCAAGTGTGGTAGAAGTCTGTCTCTCTCCTTACTCATTCTCCCTCGTGTTTCTCAAGAACAACAGGAAACTTAAATGTGGTCCTGCACTGTTCTTCGTTTTTTTTTTTTTAAACAAGTTATAGAAACTTTTGAACCGTGTTGGCAGAAAACAGACAAAATAGCCGAAAGTTAGAACTTCTTTTAGGTAAAAATTTAACCAAAATTCCATTTGAGATGTAAGAGAGAGAGAGAGAGTCTGAAAGAAGAGAACTTCTTTTGTAAACCTAAATTCAAAGTTTTCTATAAAGCCCCCAGGTCCCACCCACACTGGTTAGATTTCCTCTCTAGTATGTATTTAATCAATCATGCAGGTTTCCATCAAATTTTGGACTCAAAGATCAAAAAGATCAAAGGAGGCTGAGCAAATGCAACAGAAGAACCAAGCTCCAATGTCCAAGAAGAACAAGAAGGAGAAGTAATCAATAGAAGAAATACTGAAGAAATTAGTCTTTTCCCCATCCCTCCTTTCCTCTCCTCCGCCACATTCAACCTGTGTGATGTCATTTCCTGTCAGGTCATCCCTTGTTTTGCGACGAGTGGAGAAACAGAGAAGGAAGGAGTTTGACAAAGTGCCCAACTCCCTTCTCAAGTTACCTGAGCCCACCCTGTTCATAGCGCAATCAGCAGGAAGTGAAACAACACTGTGCCCTGCCCCATTCCACTACAACCACGACCAACACCGGACAGGAAGTGATGTCACACCAGTTCCGTCAGCATTGAGTGAGTCTTTAACAGTAAACAGAGATGATAAAACTCATCAAATATCAGCCAGCGCTGTGAATGGCTGGTTTTTGCAGTATAGGCGGAGCTTCCTGGTTCTGTCCCTTGGAAAGGAAAAAGGTTAGAGATAAAGTGGTTGTTCTCCCTTTTTTTCTTTTCATAGTTTGTCATGTAAAGTTTCATTGTTGTTCTTAACTGTTCAAGTTTGATTTTCTGGAGGCATAGCTTGGCATGTATGGGTAGGGGGCTCCTGGCTTTTGTTATATTTTTCTTTAAACACATCAGTCAAACAAGCAGAGTCAAAGTAGTGGACTCCATGTTCCAGCTCATTTTTAGGCTTTTAAATTTGCAGACTTGCCAGCTACAGACAGTAAACATCTGAAAATACTAACCCACAACACAACAGTCTGGGAGAAGTGCTTTTAGGCCTCGTAAACTGTGATAATCCCTAGGCATTTACATGCTACTCCCTCGCTTTGCTGTTCCCACGCCTCTCTCTTCCTCCTCTTGCAGCCCGTCCTTGCTGGTCAAGCATTGTATTCTGCGACGTGTAGTTCTGAGACCTGGAGAGGGAGCGTCAAACTGGGCCCAGCCCGCGCCTTTTAGTTGTCTTGGATTTGTCTTTTGTCCTTTTATCCATGTGCTGCTCCGTCACTAATTTGAGTCCTACACACAAACTGCAAAATCTGCAGCACCTTCACCCCCATCCCCTTTGCCCCTCCTCTGTTTAAGAGTCTTAGGGGGGAAGTTGGAGGGTCAGAGGGGTGTTCTACCCCCCAAAAAATGTCCCCCTACTTTACTTTACTAAAGACTACATGACCAAGGCCAGAGCACCAGAGGCTGCTATTCTTCTCTTTTTCTCCTGCCCATATCCCTTGCTCCCTGTGGTTGCTAGCACCAGTCATCCTCGTCTGTCTCACTGTAAGGTTCGTGCGGACCCTTGCGGGGCCCTCGGGCATGGGGAGGGCGGTGGTGCGGATGGGGAGGCACCCCAGGTGGCCCCCTACGATGTGGGGAAGGTGAGGATGAACGGTAGCCATTAGGCACCCTACGTGAATGTGGGTGAGGGGGTGGAGGGGGCCCGTGGCGGGCAGTCCTAGGCGAGCGTGGGTGTGGGTGAGGATTTCCTCCATGTGAGTGAGGGTTCCCATGGGATAGGCTTTGCTCATAGGCAGGGGGCTCATGGTGCCGCTCATACTCATAGTCGCGTTCATAGAAGGGCCCATCACCCTCCATACTGTCTCCTGGCAGAGGTCCACTCCACCGGCCTCTGTGGGGGGATCTGGGCGAGCCATGGAGGGGTGACTGGTGCCTCGGAGAGCGTGGTGAACCGTGCCGGGATGAGGAACCCCCGTGGTGTGGAGAAGCCTGTCTTGATGCAGGTCTGTGGTGGTAGCCTATGTCGTGGTCTGGTGGGGAGAAGTGTCGGGGGGAGGGAGAGCGCAGTCGACCAGGCCCTGGGGGGCCATAGCTTGGTTTGCGGACGGCAGGGGAGTAGGTGACATGTGGACGGGGGACAGCAGGGGTCTGGGGAAGCTGGCGACGGCCTCTTCTCGGAGTGCTGGTCCCCGAGGTCGAAGGGACTGGGCTGCCGCTGACCGAACTACTGCCCTACAGCAAAATGTAAACAAGGAAAATCAAAATGCACCACAACGACACCAGAGACCAGAATACAGTAAAGAGGTGGTGAAGAGACAGAGACAGAAAGATAGAGAAGAGATAAACACCATTTAAAATCATTTAAAATGACAGTGATGGGGCAAAAAATTTACACCAAGAAGCCAAATGTCACATTGAAGAATAATGAAAAGAGAGAAAAACAGTGGAAAAGGAAAAAGGATAAAAGAAAAAAAGGGAAAAAAAGAAATCGAAATCCATAAGTTGGTGCTTAGATTTGTGTGATTTTGTACTTGGTACAGTGGAACAGTTGCTCTAGAGGATAGAAATGTCAAGGGTTATGGCTCACTTCACAAAATCAATTAGTTGTCACCTTTTTGAAAACTGACCAGTTTCTTAGAACTATTTTGGATAAGATTGTTGACAACCTACTCTACTGTGTTTCATATACTAAGAATTGTTGAACTAGGTATGAGATCAAGCAGCAGTTTTCAAATGGTGAGACACACCTTCCCTGGGGACATTAATCATCCAAGATTGGTGACCAAGCCATGGGAGTTTTTTGATAGAACGCTACAGGAACAAAATTGTACTTGTAGAGTAGTACTATGGACTTGAGCGAAGTGTCACTTGTCCACTTTTGGCTGTCTGTGTAGACTAAGGCCCATAATTTTTATTTTAATGTGGACTATGGATCATTAATTGTTAAATAATTTAAGGTTAAAGTAGCCCACAGTTGAATTGTTAATGTGAGAGAATGTTACACTGAGGGTGATAAAGATAGTAAAAAGAGACAAACAACATTCAAACAACTTTAAAAAAAGAAAGATCTCTGAGATATAAAATAATTATTAAAAGACAAAGATGTTTTAAAAAGATAAAAATGAAGAATAAATGTTAAAAGATGTTTAAGAGGTGAGTCTAAGAAGTTTTTGGGGGAGGGGGACCTGTGTTTTTCCAACAACATGAAAACCTCTGATATAATTTATCATTGCCAGCACTGAAGTACCCACAACGATAGTACAGAACATGGTCTGGGATAATAGAGCTTAAAACCCAAATATTGATGAAATTGTGTACTGCTGAATTAATGTCTTTAAATCTATAGGGAATCTGTCAAATTTGTATTTATTTGGCCACATTTTAATGTGAAGTGACAGATATGAGGAAGGACGAGTTTATCGTATTAATACTTTTTTCCTTTCAGGATCTAAATGTCTGGAATTCATGTGTGAAAGGGTCTTCACAGATTTTCCAGATTCCCATTGCTGATACAATTGGAACACAGCTCCATTTACCAGTCACGTTAGAACTGATAAAGCCTTTTGGATTGTAGGCAAACATCTTCAAAAGTCCTATTGCCCTATGAATATAACTTTGAAGCTACCATGACTTAGAAGATCGAGAACCTTCACAGACAACACAGTAGAATGACATTGTGCACAGGGTACTCTGTTGACCATTGACATTATAATAATAATATAATAATAGTATTTGATATTCTCAGTCTGCGCATGACATGGCAGCAAAATAAGGCCATTTTGTGCATACGGTAAATTAAGTGAAAGGTTTTGTAAAAAAGGAATGCTACACCTATGGAAAGAGCAAGAAAATAACAGAAAATAGCATACTGGACATTCCTAGGAAGCTGTCCCCTATTTTATGTTTTTTTAAACTCAGTGGAGTTTGAAGCCCACCTGTCTGTGTCCTCGTCCATCGGGCCCCTCACTTGGTGACCTGGACCAGTGGCGATCATGGGGATGCCTATGGGAGTAGTCGTGGCGGTCTGGGCCATAGCGTTCCTTGTCAACAGAGCTGTGATGGTGGTGGTGGTGATGGTGATGATGACGATCCTTGGTCCGGCCACGGTCCCGCTCGCGCTCCTTAGGTGGAAGGTCGCCTGACTGCGTAGTAGTGCTGAGGTCTGTGCCCAGGCCTAGCAAGGAGATGTCTCAGTTTACATTTGTAGACACAAGACATCTTGTTACTTTGTTCGGATATGTGCTCCCCGAGTTACAGACATACTTCTTTACAACATCACCAACATATTTCTGTAGTGGATAAACCATTCTTCTACATGGGAAAGTTAATTTAAAAAGGATTTAGATTAAAATATCTACAAAATAATCTACTACATATGTGCAGTCAAACATAGAGAAAAGAAAACGTATTGAAAACACCATCATTACTTCAGAGTCCAGGAGGCAGACAAGCGTCTTCTCAACCAAATAAGAGGGCTCTCAAATAATAAAGGGGATTTAGAGTTTAACAGTGGCAGCTTAGTTGCATTAGTTACACAGCTCAAGCATGCAATTTGCAATCACAATTAGTTATGGAGTGGGCTATCTGTTGGCAGAATGTTCCTTGTGTTGTTCAAGGACTTCTTTGTGCCAAGACTTGAGTTACATAAAATGTGGTGAATACTGTCATGCTCTCTTAGCTTTATAAGTGAACAGATTGTTCATAAATGCCTCAGCAATTGTTTTTGAGTTTGTGTTGTTGTTCATTTTAGGCTTACATAAAATATAGTACAACATTACCATCCACTCATGAGGAAAAGCCTATGTGGTGTTTAAAGGTGTCATCTGGCTTCCTTGATATGGATATGTAAAAACAAATTATGGAGTGTTTCCTCATAGTATTACCCAACGGAAGCATATATAAAGTGAAGAGAATTGGTCCAAGCACTGAACCTGGTGGAACTCCATGGCTAACTAGTGTGCAGAGAGAACTTATCATGTACATGTATAACTGAGAACAATCTGATAAATTGGACTTAAATTAACTTAAAGCACTTCCTGTAATGCCAAGTAAGAATTGGCATTACACTTACAGAGCTCATAATGGTCAGACACCATCTTATCTTAAAGAGCTATTAGTGCCGTACTACCCCTCTAGAACATTCTGCTCCCAGAATGCTTATGGTACCTACAGTCTCTATGTATTATGGGAGGTAGAGCCATGAGTTATCAGGCCCATGTCCTTTGGAATCATCTACCAGTCAGGAGTTGGCGTTATACAATAGAGACTGATTGATACTTGTGCAAATTGATTAACCCATGAGACACTTAAGGGCACAGTCCAGGGGGTTTAAAGCACAGGTTATCCAGGATCAGTAATATGACTAAATTTGAGTGTTGCATAATGTAATTCTACATGCTAATTGAAACATAAAAAGTGCAAGTGAAAGGTGGTTTCTGTCATTGGGTTGTATGGACTCTTGCCACTGAATGATGCTAAATATGCACTTTCTATGAAAAAGCTACCAGAAGCTGCTGAGCTCACAATTATATAATACAGTTCAACATATGTGACACATCATGATATCTACAGCTGTTAAATGTCATAACTTACATGTACATTAAATGTGGTATAAGTTCACTATGACACAAGTGGCTCACCCGTGTCTGCATCGGTGTATCGGGTCAGGGAGCGCTGCGAGGCACGATGACTCCTATCTCTGTGCCTGCGTCCTCCGTGACGACCCTCTTCAGACACCACTCTCTCCAGGGAGTAGTCGTCCAGCCTCACGCCCCGGCCTGTGCGCCCATGGACCAGGCTGGAGGTGGAGCGATGCATTGGACTTGTGTCAGTAATGGTCTGCGAGGACAGAAGGGAAGAGCAAGAGAGAAAGTACAGAAGGGGAAATGAGCAGAAAGGAGATAAGAGAAAAAAATAGAGGTAAAGAAAGAAAGAAAGGGAGAAAGAAAGACAGAGGAGATTTAACGTGAGATTGAATGCATCCTGACTTCTGGAGTCTATGTTCAGTTCCATGTTAAGTTCACGCTGCAAATATTGGTTCAGATTATGTATTCAATGAGTATATGTGCCGACTAAATGACAATATCTGACTTGGGTCAAATAGCAGAACCAAAGAAAACTCTTGTTTAGGAAAATTCTTTTTTAAATGAACACTTTGGCTCTTCTTTTGTCCTGTGACCTTTACCCATCAGATCTGAAACAAATCAGTTATATGACTTCTAAGCACTATTTGACCCATCTTAAATTGCGTTTTAACTTATAGTCTTTGAATTCAAGTAGCTTGAACCATAGCACCTTAAATCCCAAACTACTAAGCTGTTGACAAGCGCTTGAATATCATGCTGCTTTACCAAAACATGGTGGAGTAAAGCAGATAGAGAAATGTAAACAGGGAGCCGACAGAAAGAGGGAGAAAAGAGGCAGAGGGACAGAGAGCAAGCATGGACGGTTATAAAAAACCATGCCTCACATGCACAAGGCACAATACTGTTGACTTGACTTTCCAGATGGCAGCCATATTTAATTGTGACACTCAGGGCAGAAAGCCATTTTCTTTCCATTGTGAAGCTGGAACAGGGAGTGTTTAACACACTGTCATTCATTCATTGATTAAAAAAAAAAAAAAAAAAAAAAAAAAATTGCTAGTTTGAACAGATTAAAAAAAATTATATAGCGGTAAAGACTTTTCCTAAGAATTTGAATTAAGATTTTTAATCTCTTATCTTGTCAATCACAAAAATGTCATAATCATATATTCTTGTCCAAAGAATGCTTGTCTTGGTCAAACAACAGTTTAAAAATTCACAAAAAGCGGCATAAAGTTCACACAACAGCTTTAAATGTTGCAGATTGACAGACTTGATGTCATATTACGCAGATACATGGCATATCTAAGTAAATGCTTGCTAGATTGAACAAACTTTTATTTGCTCACATATTGAATACATCATTTTTCTCAATCAATTATAATCTGGTATTAAGTTGTAACTATTGGGTTTCTGTTCACTTAGAGTGCCCTACTACATTAAAGCTACTTTGTACCTTCCATGTTGTTTCTTTGTGACTTATTACCTCTTGATCATGCCCAAATAATGACCTCCCAACTAGGAAATTGGACCATCCAACATGCATGTGAATGTAGAGTAATCAAACATGACTGCCATGTGGATGATGTAAATTTACGTTCCATGAATTAAGAGCCTGGTCAAAATGCTCTACAAGAACCCAATTGAAAAATCTTGCAGATTATTATTTAAAAATCCTTCAATGCTCTCAGGATCATTTAGATGATCTCAAACACATTGACATTTATTCAGATGCAAATCAGGGGGCGAAAGGAAACTGGAAGTCTGGATATGATCTGGATTTTCTTGCTGGGTTCATAATTTGGCTCTTCTGACCAGGATAGGATCCTGCTGACAATCTAAACCCAGAACAAAAGGCCTCATCACCCTGATGAGAAAGCACACTACTGTCTGTAAGTAGCAGGCTGGACAACATCACTCACCAGAGAGGAGCTGCACAACACACAGACGGCTGTCTGTACACTCTTTAACAGTTTAAGACAAGCCATGCATGCCCTCTGGGTAGCCGGCAGCATTTTACCATGAAGCATACACTTATTATAGTGACACACTCACACACATACAGTCCAACTTTACAACCCATTTCACAAGTCACTGTTAAGGCAGCACTCTTCCTTGTTTCCCTTGGTTTCTTTCCTGTTGATCACATAAATGGCAAGACTCAGCTCTGCCATGTCATGCATGACTATTGACATGCCGAAGCTGCCCAATACCCTGCATACGGGCCAAAAGATGCACATCAGGCCAGTCCATGCTTTTCGTCACACACTGTTGACTCGGTCTGCGGCAATGCAGCAGACTGAAATGCACATTAAAACACAAACATAGAAACACACTTCCACACACGCTGCAAAACAGCTGAACTCCAAGGGAAAGTCGTAACAAAGAACAAACGATGAAAAGCAGAGGGGACCTCAACACGAGCAGACACGGGAGGGAAAGACAGATAGAGAGGGGGAAAAGAGAAAGAGCTCATAGGATAGATAGAAAAAAGGGGAACCAAAGTATATTTAAATTGTGAAATTTAGGTCACAGTTGGTTTTGAAGAGCTTGGAGTACCACGTGGGTGGGCTTTACTGCATCAACTCTTCTCAGATGGTTACTCTTTTGATTTGCAGAAAATGAATTTCATTTATCGGCCTCACAAATGTCCACATATAAAAACATATGTGCCCGCTTTAAATATTGCAACAATGAAATATGTTCACTTTCTTCTCTGGAAATCAGAATAAATTGTATTAGCCAAGCATGTCTTTGCATTTGTTACTTTCAGTGTATTTACATATTTAGTCTGAGGACTTTCAACAGACTGGGTGTGCAGTTTCAGGTTTCCTTTGTGTTTCAAAAATGAATTTAGTTGAATAAAGATCTATACATGTATCTAACTCTGATTATGTGTCTCAAGAAAGTGCAATGGGGGAGGTTTGTCAGGAATTATATTGACATTTTTTTCAATAAGCCTGAGCCCAACGGTTCTGTCACACCCATTAACCCAATTGATGGAAATTTATTGATTGCCTATTGATAATATAATGACAAACACAAACTTTGAAGATCGATATTATAACAAGGATCATTTATGATGATGCTCTAAATACTAGGTAACCAAGATTTTTTTAAACTCTTCTAAATAGCTTCCTTTTACTTGTTGTTGTGGATGCCATTGTTGCGGGGGAGTTGCTCCGTTGCCTGTCAGTAGGCTTCTTAAAGCCAGCCAATTAGAAGAGTGTAGGCTCAATTGGAGAATGGCCGAAAGGTACATTAATGAGAACAGCTTCTTTCGGACAGAGGTTACATTGATTACAAATTGGGCCAGTTTAAGATGAATAAAGGATGGCTGAGTTTTGAATCAAGAAAGTACTTCAGAGGAATCCCAGAATAAAATCAAGATTTGATGCCTGTTTCAACAGCTATTTATAACTTCTATCTCGATAGGGTGCATTGTCCTTTCTAAACCTTACTTTGAAATAAGTACTTTTGTCACTAAAGTTGTGTCATTGTTTGGTTGCACCACATAAGGTTCATCCGTTAACACATGACAATTAGATGTAATTAGAAATTACGTTCAAACTAGTTAATGTGTTGAGCCTACACATAGCTGGTGTAACTTGCTGGAAAATCAGTGCTAAATGGCAAATAAGTAGTGTTGGTAATTCTGAATAGTCCCTTAGACAGTGGCAACGCCAGAGATTTTTTTTTGCTGGCGCTATGGGGTTGCTCAACTTTTCAGAGAGGGTGCTCTGAGATTTAGGGTTCCTAATGCCAGTTAACAGTTTAATTTCTACTGCAGCGCTAGCTACAGCGCCCCCTAGCACCTCCCTGGTGCCGCACATGCATTTAGAGCGTGAGAAATTAAGATGACTACTGAGATAGCAACTGTCACCTTCCTTGCTGTATTATGGATGTTCAAACCCACCCACATGGCAACTTACACGAGTTAGAAAGAACCGTCAACTACATTTTGGTGCAGATCAAGTTTGAAGATAGTTGAAAGAGTGATAGAGGAATCTATAGAAGAGGGGAAGAGAAAGGAGATCTAGGGAGAGAGAGGTACATACACTGAGGTTATTTCCGCGAGGCCTGTGTCTCCTCCGCTGCAGAGCAGGCAAACACAGAGATGATACGTAGAGCAGAGCAGTGTAGCACACACACACACGCATAGAGCATAGGCCCGACATAGCATAGCCGCCAGGACAAGAAGAGGACAGAGGAAGAGAGCCAGGGAATAAAAGAACGAAGATATGAGGACAGGAGGAGGAATAAGGAGAGGAAAAAATATATTTTAGATGATTAGAAGTACAGAGATGAAATAGAGGAAGGACACATATACAAAAAGGGGAAGTGAAGATGAAGAGAAGGATAAACATAGACGAAGAGGGTGGAAAAGGAGGTAGTAAAAGGACAGAGAGAGGAGAAAGAGGGAGAACCGAGTTAATTCAGAGGCCAATGCACACACAGAAGAGTGAGGTGGGTGTACCAGTGAGCAAGAGGGGACAGAGGACAATTTAAGATACGCAATGCATGTGCATCCATACACACTCATACACACACTTACCGAAACAGCATGAGCTCTCTGTAAGGCAGAGCAGTGTTAGAAGGCAGTAAGTAACAGAGTCCCGACACACATATAAAGTGTACACCCAAAACATAAATACACGTTACACACACACACACACACACACACACACACACAGGCACCCAGATCATTCTCTAAACTCATTTGGAGTTATTATCTAACTACATTAACAAATCTTGTTTTTAGTATCAGATAACTATATTGATTCTATAAACACTAAGCTTTTTTCCAAGACTTTTACCTAAAAGTCAGAGAGAAATCTACAGGCACCTAACGGGGCTCAGATAGTTTGTTTAAATCAACAAAGACTAATTTCCTTCGGTTTGTGATAAGCTAGCACTTATCACCAGGCAATAGGTGTTCCTTTCTCTTGAACATAATTTAACATGTTCTCATTTAGGCCCTTTTCCTCTGACAGTGGGAGGCTCAAACACTATTATGTGAATTTTACTCATGAATTTTAGTTTGCTTTTTACTTCTGCCATAAAGTGGTCACTATTTGTTAAAATTATACCTCAGAAGAAAACGTTTTAGTAACATACATTTCTCTATGCCGCATAGATTATTTTCTGCAATTAACCAAGATCCTATGGAAAAACTCGATTAGGGTCTGTGTTACCAAACTGCAGTTTTTGCGCTGGCAGTGACTGTTTTCTAAACAAAAACCAATAAACTTTAGAATCTTCAGTGCCCTAAGTGCAAAAACTCCCATGGCCTTTTTTTGTCCCTGCGCTTGCAGCACTCACAGTTAAAAAAAACAAAAAAACATTTGGAACACTGCCACTTGTCAATGTCACCTCTCCCTCAGCGGCTAATCAAAATCCGGATGAGGTGGGACTCCAGATATCAACTAATATCAAAGAAACTAGGCTATATCTAGAAACTTATCCTTTACCTTGCACGGTTTATCTCTTGCACACAGCCCATTTTTTTTAGAGGGTACAATTTCCAGGTCTAGAGTCAATGCCAGAACACCTTCCCTTTAACATCTTCTATGTAGCATTTCCTTGACAGAAAGCCGATACTAAGCATTTGGAACATTCAAAACAGACTTCACTGTCACTGGTGAGCAAACAGAAGTGCTGCAAGACAACTTTAAGATATAGTAAACGTAAGCCGGTGAGGAACGCTCTGAAATTGGGGTCGTAGGTGCCGCCAGCGCAAAAAAGGACATTAGAGGACACAGGCCACTTTCTCTTACAGATTAACACAGTGATTCTAAACACCAGGTTGGCCTAATACATTATGTAACTCTCTGTAGCACTTGGTAAAAATATAAGCAGAGCCCTTCCCAACATGTATCAAAAGGGAAAACTGATTGTTCCCTTGTACATTTGAAAAGACAGGCATACAAACAGGGTAAAGTAAATATTAGCCTACTGTGAGTTGTGGAGAGTTAAGCATTTTACTCTATTGTACAGATTATTGAATTCAAAATACTACAATCACTTCAGTATTAATGTAAAATGATAACTATTAGCCTGAACATGAACGCATTTCAATCAGCAGCATATGTACACAGGCATGGAACTTTAGCCCTGTAGTACAGTATATTAAGAGTTTAGATTATGAAACTAAGTGGATGAGTCAAAATAACATCAGAGAATGAATAAAGTTTCAAATCATTAACTACCCACCCTTAAACCACTTTGGTTTACAATATAGTGTTAACTATATTCCATATTTTCAATTATCAACAGCACCCGCTGCATAAACGTGAAACCTAAAGGACTAAAAAACTATCGTTTATTGTCCTGACACCTGCTATACTCGTCCCACACTCTTTCTACCTCGTCTTCTTAATGTTCATACACTCCATGGAGTTACCAACATACCAAAGTGAGAGCCACATGACACAATGCAGTGACATGTTTGAGTATGACTTAATGCAACGGTGTGTGTTTGTGAATGTGTGTGTAACTGTATCCAGGGGCTTCATGGGAACACTCATGTCATACTTATTAGTTTTTGAACATTTTAGTTGTAAATTTCAACCTTTCTATTGTCAGGTTTTTTCAAAAGAATTGTGTGAGTGTATTACTGAGACATACAGAAAGCACTTTGAGTGGCTACAAATCTGAAGTGAAACCAGGTCTCTTTAATCATATGGGGAGCAAATTTTAGAACCAATAAATCAGTTGCAAATTCTGAAGTGGCACTTCATTGCCATTTTGTTTTTTGAAGCCAGAAGTGATCATACTTTGACAAGTGATGGGGAACAAGGGACTTTTCATTTACTCGACTCAATGACTGAACGTCCTTTAAAATAATAGGTTAAATTACGTGACGCTAGATATGTTAGCTAGTTCCAGTGCCGTTGTTAGCTATTCAACTTTTCCTTGCTAACTCACCCACAAAAACACATATGCCACAGCAGCTGCTGGGCACAACATACTATCAAATAAACTTACTAAATACAATGAATGTGTAAACTGCAGTTTATGTACCTTTTTTGGATATTTTCCATCCAAGCAAATATTACCTCTGGCCACAGTTAGCACAGGACAGACACACCAAGGATTGAATGGATATGGAAAAGAGTGGTGAAGGTGGAAAGCTACAAGGTACTCTGCAAATAAAGTTCTTCTAGATATGAATTTTTAAGCATATCTAGTACGCTCTGCTCCAGCGCTGGCATGCAGTTTTTCTTGGAGCTCTGCAGGGTGGGAGTGAAGGAGGTGGAGGGATGGTGGCGGAAGGGAGAGGAAGGGAGACAAACTGGGAAGTCCAGACAGAAGAAGCTGAATCTAAAGAAAGTCTCACAGCCTCTTTGCATCCTGTCAAACATTTTGTAGACGGTGAAACGTGTTTCTCATGCAAAAAAATAAATAAAAGTCAGCTAGAAATGCCCCCCCCCCCCCTAAAAACCAATAGATATGTTTTTGTTTAAACATATCTTTTACATTGTTGCTTGGTATCAAACAAGAAGCATATTTAAATATTTCAGACTTCTCTGTTTGGGATGCAAATAGAGACTTTTCAAATTGGCTTCTGCTGTCCTTGCTAACAGGCATAGTGATGATGGTGAGTGTGGTATGAAGGTGCTCACTTGGTTGTCTGCAGAGAGGCGGGGCATGGAGAGGGTCCGCCCATGCCCATCCATAGGGTGATAGGGCTCAGTGTCGGAGTACCCGTCCCGCCCCATCTCCCTCATCTCTACCGTCTGTAAAACACAACGAGAGGGGGCGTGACCACTGCCAGCTGAGAATGGGGCTCTGACAGGGGGGAGGCGTTGACTAGTAATGGGAAGCATTGACTGAGGTGTGAGGTTAAATAAACTCTCCAAGAAGCTGATCATGTTTTTGTTACTTTCATGCACATAAGACTAAAATTCCTTAATCCTAAAAGCAACATGTTTAAATAAACTGTTGCAACCTTTCTCTGTTTAAATATTGCCTTTGAGTCTCTGAGACTCGTATTTATAAGAGTAGTTCAGTAGTTTTAAATCTTTAAAATCATAGCGTGATAGTCTATTATCACTTCAACTGTTCATAATGGAGCCAGACCAATATGTCTTTAGAAAGTTTAGCCGATATGGGCCTATCAAAGACACATCAGTGTCAAGTTGGAAATTTCCATGAGTTTTGTTGGTGGAAAACATCTGGATGATTTACAAATTGTGTGAACTAGTAGCTCGTCCAGCAGAGGGTGCTCCGACGCCATCCTCTCTGCACTGTCTACTGCAAATGTAACGGAGCATCACAGAGGGTCTGCACTAAAATTTACAATGTTTAATTTTATAACACACTCTATAAAAATGTTCTTTATTAGAAACCAGCCTTTGGGTTAACTTTTCTCAGTCATATTGGGGCAAAACATGTCCATACTAAAAGAGGAGGTCAGGCTCTAATGTAAAATGCAGCTTCAAATTTGACTTCTCACTCTGAATTTTTTATTTTTTATTTTTTTGTCAGTACATGGTTCAATTTCAATAATTAGTTATGGGATTGAAGAGAGAGATGAGGGGCTAGGGGTATCCAGACAGACAAGTGAAAAGGAAGGGGCAGTGAGTAGGAGACACAATTTCTCCCAAATCCAAGCCTTTGACCAGAGAGGAGGATGTAAGGACCACAAGAGTACGAGAGATGTGGACTTCAAGCAGGAAGATGGTGAAAGGGACAGAGAAGCGGGTTTGAAAAGAAAAGAGCTCATAGGACAGAGAGATACTACAGTCTTGTAAATCTGAAGTAACAGCACCAACATCCAGCGATTCACATTTGGACCTCAACAACTACTTTTTTGGAGATTGCAACAACCTTGGTAAGAGCGACGATGGAGTAAAAGTTGTTCACAACAAGGACACTCAAACAGATCATTCAGGCGAAGCTCTCAATCCCTTCACTTCATATCAGTGATAAGAAAGTGGATTAAGTTCTGCCAATTTCGTATGTGTTTTATGATAAAAGAATCCAGTCGTCATCTTTTACACCTGAAATTCCCATCCAACCACTTCTGAGGTTAGATGTGAATGAGAGAAGATTATTTGAAACAAAAGACTTACCTGAAGGAGAAGGAATATTTGAGTTCTCCTTTCCCCCGTCACTTTAAATACCCAGTTCTTAATTTCAACCTTTTTTTTTGCCCCCCCAGTGCTACAGCAGGAATCACGAGGACTGTTCCTCACAGTGAATTTAATAATTCCAGCTGATTCAACATATTGGCCTCATTGACTAGGGATTACACTCAGCCACTTCTGGATTTTTGTGTGTAACAAAGGTGACAGCATATATGTTTGTGCTCATACTACCTGCGGATTGTGACGGTTGTCATGGAGATCTTCGGGGTAGGGTCTATCTGGGCTCCAGTTCCCCGTCTTTTGGAACATTTCCTGGGCTTTTGCTGTCACCCACGACTGGCTCTCAGTCATGCCCCCCTCAGGAGGTCTGGCACACAAACACACAAGTCAGGTCAAAGATAAGCAAGGCCTGCTACTTAAGAAATTCTTAGTTGACTAATACGTATTGGAAATCTTTTAACAAACAAGTAGGCTACCTGACTTTATTGGAACGAAAATGTCAAAATAATCCTAATGTAATAATGATGGGTTCTTAGATTTTCCATCCTGAATGCAGATCTTTGTTTCCTTTTGTCCCATGTATTTCAATCCATTTCATGTAGGTGCCCGGTCCGCCGCTGCAGACTACTCACATGCTGTTGAGGTTGTCTGGTTGGGTGCTGGGGAGGCCGTTCAGTCCTTGGCCCCCCTGGCCGTCCATGCCCCCTCCCTCAGAGGGTGGCTCCATGCGCTGAAACATTAATGGCGTTCGGTTCTGTGTGAGATACACGACATGGCCTGCAGGCTGGTATCAGGCACACTCAGGGGGCAGACACAGGACACAAACACAGGATGCACTCGCAGCATGCACCCACACGGGGGCACCATCGGCAAGCACATGGCTGTGGGTATCCAAGGTAAGGTTCCCTGCTAGAGCACTGATCTGAGATGGGCTTACCGCACTGAACAGGTGTGACCATGTTTAAGAGAACTCTGAACAGGTGTGACCATGTTTAACAGAACTCTTAAATTATTTGACCATGGCATCTTTTTGGGTGAACGTTCAGGGAGGTAACGATGATCTCAGATCAGTGTCAAAGAGGAACTTCTACCTTTGGCATTAGGTCTTAAATCACAGGTATTAGACCAAACTACCACACCCATGAAACACATAATCAAAAAAGTATTCTACTCAAAATAATCATCAAACAATCTTCATTAGGAAGATTTTTTGAGTGATATGTCATTTTGTGAGAATAAGACATCTAATCCTGAACCAGTAGAGTAAAGGGGTCAGAGGTCAGACAGCTTCTCCCCCCGGAATCCTGGGTAATGGAGTCCTCTCGAGGGTTGTGGAAAAGGGGTTGGTTCATGACAGCAACAGCCGGTGTTTAGTCCCTCCATAGACTAGAAGCTAAATGCTGAATACTGAGTGAGTGCAGATGGATGGAGGCCTGTTCAGAAACAGATACACATCCACATCTCCTCTGACACATCAGAATGAACTTTTGGACAGTAAGCTTGACTGGCTACAAGGATAATTGATCATTAGAAGGACTGCTTATATACCTGGGCAAGTTGGGAATAGAAATGTTAAAGTTGCACTTGAAGTTCAAGTCTTTAAATCTTACATGACAGATTTATCTTTATGCATGAGTTTATCTGGTTTCAGAAGGCGGTGTAAACAAATGCTGCCTTTTAAAGCCTGTGGGAAGTTTGTCAAACCTTGTCTATGGTAAATGGTTTCAGTTGGCACTGGCTAGCTTAAGTGATGCCTCCTGAGAAACTAAAACCGTTTAGATCGGTGAAAACGTGAACACCAAACATTGAACAAAGATGGCGGCTTTATATGTTTCAGCTGTGGCTTATGTCCAAACGAATGGTCCTGTGATTTACTGATTACATACAAAGTCACTGGTCACAGGAATCTCCACTCAACATCCCAACAGCCAACCAAACAGCAGATAGACAAACAGACAGATTTGAGAACAGAGATGGGAGAGAATGATGTTTGGTTAGAGCAACTTGGTGACAATCAACCTGGATTGACCAAATAGTGAGAGCTTGATGAGTCAGGGTCTCATCGCTTCCTGGAAGGATAAAAGGGAAAGCATCAAAAGGACAAAAAACGGCATGATAAGACAGGAACACAGAAATACAGACAACAGACTGAAGAGACAAAAGAATGACGGACAACAGAAAAATATCTGAGCCACATCAAACAAACACTGAGGAGAACAATGGACAAAAAACAAGACTTGAGGAATACACAGAAGGATAACAAACAAAGAAGAAAGAGAAGACACCAAATGTGAGGAGTTAGAAGAAAAATCCAGTCCTGGGTGCCTTAGCCCGTCACGTGTTATATTGTAATTTTCTTTACTTTTTTTGTGATCCAGTCCTTGTGCACATTTTTTTTAAATTGGCATTTATGTCTTCAGTTTGGAACGTGCCATTAGGAATTTGAATATCATACAACAATTTCCCAGACAAAATTTAAGATGACAACAAAACAGTCTTATTTATAGGCTTCAATTGCGTGTGCATGGCAAGGTTTTGCATTCATTTTTGTATTTATTTGTAGATTTGCTAACCTTTGCCACACTCTTTGCCAATTCTTGGCCAACTACAGTCTATGAATCACCATTACTGAAACCAAAAACTTCACGGCAATGGCTAGAATTCTGTTGCAGTTCTTTCCTGCCAACCTGTTGCTTTCTCAATTTCATTGACTGTTTCAAAGATGCTGCCATGTCCCATCTACATACAGTTGAAAGTTACATTACAAGTTACAAATATTTGTGTATTTAAAGAAGGACATGTGTGTAAAAAATGCTTTCTAATTCCTGAATACCAGGGTGTGTCCATTATGCCATCTTAAAGCAAAATGAAGTGAGTAATTGTTGCAGTATATATTAATCTGTTGAGGGAATTTTTGAATGAAAAGAATATTTATTTTCTTCTTTTTTTTCTTTTTATAATTGAAGTCTAGCTTGTAAACCATTCAGACTTGTCTGATGTTTTAGAAAGCAAGAAACATTCTGATACTTATCAGTAAATAATGTAAATAATTAAAGACATTGACTATCATTTGTGTAAGCCATATTTGGGTGGATTCTTCCTTTAAAATGAAGGCTTAATGTAAAAAACAAGGTCAAAATGGAGGAGAGGAATTCTGAAATTACACAGTACAGATGGTGGGACGAACAAACGGGGCAAAGAACTTGTTCAAGTCCTTGTGGACTGCTGATGTTGAGAGAGCCTTTCCATTCATTCCAATGGGATGACTGCATTCAGGAACATACCAACACATATTGTATATGCAAGGGTGTATTGTTTAAATGGAAAACGTTTTTAGCATACTCTCCATCTATCAATACACTCCTTTGTTCTGCAATGTGACAATTCAATCACAGCAAGTATGTCTCAATAAAAATGGGAAGCAAATTTTTACTTTTTTGTAGCTTGTTAAATTTAATGTCAACTGCTGGAGTGAAAAGGAGGTACTGCACGAGTGGAGAGATGTTTCTTCATGTGGACTGAAAATACAGATACAGCGGGAGCAAGTGCATCTCAAAGGCATTCACTGACAGAAGGGAAAGAGCACTGATGGGGAACAAAAGGTAAGGCCATGTGGTATCATCAACATCATAATTTTTCAGAATAATAACAAGAACAAAAAATCAAAGCTGTCAATCGGGTAAACCTTTGTGATATTACTCCTCATCACTGCGTTCAAACAGCCCGTGGTGAAAAGGAAAAGCAAAGTCCAATGCAGGAAAAGGAAAGGTTGCTAACTAGCCAGAGAAAAAAGATAGCTACACACCTCTGTTGGCAAGCATAGTTAAAAGTATAAGGCTGGCTGAGAGAGCAACAAGGTACAAGAGAAAGGACCACGATTTTCCGGTAGCATGCTATTAAGGGAGCAGTGCAGGCTGAGATAGAGGAAGGACGTTTTTTGGAAGTGTAGCTGGGAGTCTATATTGGATTTAATAGTATAAGAAATGATTCTTGTGCTTTTAAATCCAGAAGAAATGCAAAATTCAGTCCAAGCGCAAGAGAGTGTGACATAAAAAAAGAGGGCCTAGAAGAGGAAGAAAGAGGAAATAGAAACAAGAATTTCTTTTTGGCATTCAGGACATTTCTTTGCGATGGAGTCTACCTGTTCCTCTCGAAGGGCCTGCATCTTTTTCGTCTTGCTCTGGCGGTAGTATTCCATGATCATCATGGCAGCGTAGATTTTGCCCACTGTCAAGTCTGTGGCTGCTGAAAAAATGACAAGTTACCCTGCAAGATTAGACCCGGGTGGGATGGGACCCTGAGCCGTGGGGGGGATGGGAGTGGGGGACAAGACTAAGATTGAAAAACAAACCACTGATACAGAGAAATTCAAACTTGCATGCAGAGTACACCAGCAGATGTCCATCAGTCAAGACCTGGAATTTAAAGCAACCTTCCCCATTGGACTTTTTATGTTTAATGTCGATAACAATGGTTGCAAATATTCTTACTTTGAAATAAGGTGATCAACTGGAGACACAAACTATATTTCTATTTACTAATTCATGTTTTCAGTGTATAACTTATTCCATTAAGATGCCTAGGCACCAGATCTAATATGCTTATATGACAAAATAATTTTTAAGACCAGCTAAATACACTAATGATAATATACAGAAGTGTAAATGGTCTGTTGGCTTGCTGAATGTGTATGGATGGATTGCATCCAAGGAAATATGGGAATGGCCAAATTTGGGAGCTGCAATGAAGCATTCATACTTTGAAATGTTAAAGGACAAGTAACATTTTTGGGAAGTACATTGCCTAATATAAACTCAAATGCTCATGTTGTCTTGAAGGAACATTAGTAACCACTGTCCAAGCATTCCCTATGAAGCCTCACTGAAACAGTGCTGAGCTCACTTGCTGGTGTACAATAGTCAAATACAATATAACAAGACTATTAACACAACAAAGCCATTAGTCTTTTCACAGGCAGATGCTTTTTCTGTACATTATCAAGAAAATCATTCTCTTATTCATTATAAACTAACCATATCAAAACGTCAGAGGATGAGGTAGCCACACCACTGAGAAACCATTTGACACCTCAATTAAATGATCTCTAGTAAAACAGGAGCTCAATTTTTTTCTAAAAACTCTGGATATATCCCCAGAGTTTGGATGGAAAACACTAAACATTTAAAATCAGAAAAATACTGAGCTTTGTTTTGATTGTACAATAGCTTGACTTCGTATTTAGCATTCTTACATTTGAGGCGTCCTTTTCAAAGTGGCATGGCAACAAGTTTTTCAGCATATTTAAACCGATACCAACATGTGATAAGATATGTCAAAACATATCTTATTGTCTTATTTTATCATTGGGGAATAAGACAAGTCAATGCATGTCTTATACCTTACTAGATGCCATGCGTTTAGCCAAACAACTTGGCAGTATTGCATACACATGCATCACAATGCTGGCTCACTCTCAAAATGATTGAAAAACTTTCTTTCTTCACAGATTTATCAGAAAATCATCCTATGCGAATGCAAAAGCCTAAATCTATGATACAAGTTGATTTGCTCAATTCTTCCTGTAGTGAAAAGACTTCTATAGAGGATCTTCTATAGCAGGCATCCCCTGATATCAGGACTAACTGAAGTGGTGGACCGATCAGCCTTGCATGCGTGTGTGCTACAAAGCCCATTCTGATGCACCTGTAAACATGTGTTGTAGTAGCTAGAGTGTATGTGTGGTATTGAATAATGCAGTGTATGGAATAATGCAGGGACTACTTTAGGCAACAAGTACCAAAATGCAATCATCATCATTTTATCAGGCTAATCACAAGCATTTAAAAGCAGGCAAAGTTGTATGTGCTGTGGAGGCATTTTTTTTGTAAACAACAAAGACAGATAATGCTTATGTGGAAAATACCCACTGTTGTGTGGTTCTCAACAACAGATGTTCACATATAATGCAAGTGGTAAGGGTTGGACTCTTATTACGTCATGTCAGCTGCATGCTACGTTGAACTTATAAACATATAATATATAAATTGGATGTTGGAGTTAGCTACCTATCAAGGCAACTCGAAGCTCCATCAAACATTTAATTGCTCAAATTGGTAGTACTATCCAGAGCGATTTTGTTTTGTGCATATTGATAATGTTACAAAAGTTGACATTAAGGTTCTAGTCTGACATTGCCAGGCTATGCTGTTTGACCATTGTAAAGGGTGTCAAGTGAGAATTGAATATAAAATAACTAATCCAATCCAATGTTAGAACAGGTAGGCCACATCCTTTCTTGTTATGTGTAACAGAGTCTAAAGGTAATTACACTGCCTGTTCTTGGCTGGTGACATTTTAATTCTGTAGATCCACCAATTAACTTGTGCTGTACTAGTACCCATGACTTGGGAGGCCTTCCAAAAACACGCACAGTATTTTGTTTAAGATTGGGCAGCCAGTGAGGAATCATGTCTCAGTGATGAATTCTACAGATTGGACAGTCAGTGAACAATGAATCACTACGGTGGCACAATTAAATACAATAGGCAAGGATGTCACCAATATCTGTTAAAACTCTCCGGCAGACGAAGAATCTTGATGCCCAAATTAATGAGAATCAAGGAAGTAGTTCTACACAACTGAAGTTGAAGGATGTTTGAGGTGCAAGGTCTATATTAGCGTTTGTTCCTGTATGTTTGTACTGTATGTGTTTCTGCTGCAGTGACCTGATCAGGAGATGCTAAGCAGTGAATGACACTGGTTGGTGGAAGCTGTCCTCTTGGTGAGTTGGTGATCGGACACAGAAACACCACTATGCCCCATTTTTCCTGCAACTTACCCTTGTGTGGTGTAACCAGCAGGTCCAGTGTCTTCTGCGATAAGTTCGGCCAAATAGCCATCATCTCCTTTCTGAGCTCTGCATCCATCTGGTGCTTGTCTGCACCGCCTGGGTAGCCCAGCGACCCAGAGTGCCCGAACACACACACACACACACACACACACAAAACATTTGGGACAGCCCAAATTCATACATCCACACATATGCAAACACCCAACATGAGTTAACACAGGGCATAGAAGTTACAGACCAGAAGGTAGGCCAGAGGAAATAGATTTAGCCATTCAAGCATGCACACATTCATCCAAAACAAAAAAGAAATATGTTAGCGTCAGAATTAGAGACAGAGTTCTGTCACATATTCTATTAAAATCTAGAGCAATTTAGAGGAGAAAGTTAAACCCATGAAATGCCCAGGAATACCCAAGAATGTAAGACAGCACAGGAACTCAGATGAATAGAAGGAGTAAAGCATGATAATACTTTTTGGGCGTACCCTTGGCAATCTTTATATCCAGTGCTGTCCTGATCAGAGCCATGAGGGTAGAGTTAAAATGCACCGTGTTATCTTCGGCAACTGGTAGATCCATGCGCAGCAGCCTCTGTGGAGAGCCAGTCAGGATGAGAGGATGAGAAAGGTACATGTCCTTGCTAAGTCTGGCATGCCTGAACCTCCAGGAATGGGGTTGGGTAAGGGGTAGTGGACAGAGTTGAGAGAGCTCCATAGACAACAGCCAATTAGAGTTGGATTGTATTTCTTCAGTTTTTATGTAAGGTTCCCCGAGACAAACTACAGTTGAATCAAGAATGACGTGAAGTGTCTCTATGATTCTTTCATGTTTGAGTCACTGAGATCTAATCAGTCAAGTCAGTGAACTTCAGCTTGAGATACTTACATTTTTACAATGCTAGTTAATTCTATTATCCATGTATTTACACATGCAAGAACATTTGCTTGGGGATAGAAACTTGAATAGGCGAGTCCCTGCATCTCCTGTTTTTCCACTGATACTCTACGAGACAGCACAACTATCCAATGATGGCCATCTGCTGCTAAGCAACTGTGAGAGCTGAGAACCACAAGGAAGAACAATCGGAGCCAGATTGACCTCCGACCCAACCTGTGCCCATGTTCCCTAAATGTGTGAATGCATTGGCGCATTTACACATCTTTCTTGTTACACACATATAGATGTAAAAATAACAGTACACATACACCAACCACCCGCCCCAATCCCATCTCCACATCCCTCCCTGTCCCCACTTACACAGATTTATTTGCAGACTGCAATTAAGGGCGCTTAATTGGAGTCATTAGAAAGACAAAATAGGTCCACTGGAGAACAATAACAGTATCACTGGAGTACTTGTGCCATTTCTCAGGAGATTGCAGTTGTTTAAAGTTACTGTGGCATCTGCTATAGAGCTCCCCCTACCCATAAGGAGGTTCCCTGTCTTAACATGTCTATACCAGGTAAAACCAATGGAGAAACCTTTGGATAGAACGAAACAAGATGGGCCATCGGGCGCCGCTTGACGTTCCTATTCCAACCAGTTTGAATCCATCGCGTTTACCGACGAACATGAGCGTTGGGCACTAACAATGGCAAGCACAGCATAACAATGATAGTGAGGTTGCTTGTGTGTTTCTGAGTGTGTGAGAGTGTCGGGCATGCCCTAAGCCAGATGTGCAAGAGGCGGAGGGCATCGGCCAACATCCACAGCGCTCGGCAGGCAACAGGCAGGCAGGTAGGCTCGAGGTCGCCCATCGCCATGCGACAGAGTACAAGGATGCAAAACCACACAACACCCCCTAGAAAAACCCACAAACCCGGACACACAGAGCATGCAACATGCCTTAACTTCACTGCCATTTAAACCCGAAAATTTTCCCATCCACCCAACCCACTACCCCTGGATTTCCCTTAAAATCCACTTTCACAATACAAGCAGCCGTGCAGCCGCGCAAAGAGAGTATCCTCAATCCAACTGGATTGATCCTAATATTAACGTCTTATATTTTTTTGCTATTCACGTTAAGGTTCCCTTAATCAACTCAAATTCTTAAGCGATAATAGAATTCATATCAAGTCAAGATCTCTCTCAATGCCAAACGGGTGCAGTGTCTTAAGGGGTTGTCAGAGTTAGAGAGGATTAGAGTTGTGACATTCCCTGAAAGAAGAAAAAAATCATAAAGAAGATCAAAAAGAGATGATTGACGTTTCTTTCTTTTGTTTTGAACCAACCAGACTTTATAATACTGGGGGGTAAGGAAAGGGGTGTCTATCAAGGGCGCATATGGTAGGGACATCAGTTAGTTGACTTAAAGTAGGCAACTCTAGGCTTGGTTATGAGATGTAGTTACAGATAAAAAGGGGAGGGCTGAGAATGAGGAGGAGAGAAGGGTGGTGAAACACTGAAAGAGTAAAGAAGCATCAAGAGATTGTAGGTCAACTAATTAAGAGAAGAAACTTTGTTTCTTTGTGGATAGAAAGGAAAGAGAGGACAGGGACCGAAAATTACAGAACAAGACGAGATAAAGACAAGGACTAAAAACAACAGACATAACTTTACTGAGATGAGTTCAGTTTATAAAACACGGTTGTGTATCAATACACAATTATCAAAATACTATTTCTTGAGTATGAGGCATAGTGTCCATCAAAGGGAAGGTCCAAAACTGTTCCTATGCATTTGGGGTACTCAGTGATAAAACGGTTAAAGGGACTAACATTCCTATTTTCCATTCAGACAAAAAACACAAGGACCTTCGGATCTCAGAAGGCCCTTAAATGGAGTTTTTCTGTTAAATTGTATCAGTGAATACTGAAAGGCTCTGATGACTGAAGTATGTGATGGGGGCCATTACTAATTCTTCTTGAAATAATCTTGAAAAAAAGTAGAAAAAAGAACTAAAGGGCAAAGGTAGAGACAGAGCTGGCTGGGATGGACAGAGGGATGATAATGAAGGAATGAAGATGGCGGCTGATGGCTGACAGACAAGTGGACAGCAGTTGAACAACAGAGGAATGATGGATTGAGAGAAAGTTTACAGGTAGGAAATAGGATAGAACAAAAAGGGAAGAGGCTTGGGAAAAGAAAGAAAGAAGAAAGAAATGGGGAGGAAAAGGAGAACAAAGAAGAACATTTTGAAGAAAGACAAAAGTGATAAGAAAAAGACAGAGAGGGAAGATAGAAAAAGTGACATTCAGATTCAAAGTTTTGCTTCGTGGACAATTTCAAAATTTAATCTAAGTAGTTATGTTCAGTCATCAAACACGAAGACTGATTGTGAGGCTTTTGATAGATACTGATGTCGTTCCAAGAAAACTTCTACTTGTCCCCAATTCAGTCCTTATTTAAGCCTCAAATTTGGTCATAGTGAGAAAAGTTAATATTACTATGCCAGTATATTTTTTTTCATAATTAATTGTCTATTGGTCTCATTAGCTGCTGGAGCAGTTTAAGAGCTTGAGAATCCAGGAAGTTTGTGGAGATGTAATGGTTTATTGCAAAGGCTTGCAGCAAGGGGACACAATTGTTAATATATATTGACCACAAGCAGTGATTAAAACCTGATTATTATTCAAACTTCAATGGAAAGGACAGCTCTATTTATACTGTAGAAGCTTTAAGGCTGCAACGATGTTGTCTTTATTTTTTAGCAGTAACTTACAGGCCTTTGATGTGCAACTTTGCACAGCTTATTTGCACTTTAAACATAATATGCAATTTGTTTTAACTCTTTGCTGAAACAAAGTTTTCAATACTGTTGAATCTGGATGTTAATAAGAAAGAGGTTGAAAGTGATGGAGAGAAAGAGTGGACAAGACAAAACGACAGCTGATGCTGAAAAACTCAGACCAAATCTTTACCCTGGTGGTCTGAGGCACAAAAAGAACCCAGAGAAATGGAAGAATCCTTGGGTGTCAGAAAGAAAAAAAAAAGGTATCTTGAAAAAGGGGGCCGTAACTTTTCTAGACAAATTTTTATGCATTCTTATCATTTGTATCTTCACAGCTTGGTTGTGTATGGCAATGTTGGCATGTGTATGTGAGCACTGAAGTGCCATCCACAGGAATAAGAGACGCAGAGGACAGAAGACAGACAACCTTTCCGGTCCTTCTGTACCCGCATCGTAAGCAAATACTTGCACTATGTGGATAATACCTGGTTAATATAATCCCCTTTAAGTCCATAACTTGGCCTTTACACAACAGATTTCCACAGCACTCAAATTATTTACTCAGCATTTGCAGTTCCACTTATCAGTTAAAAATTTGTATCAGTAATGACCACAAGTAAGTGTTTGTCCTTTGGCATTACCAGGACGATTTATTTTTAAGTATTGTCCAAATAATCATATCTACATAATGTGAAAATGAGGCCTGATTATGTTTTACACATTGATTTTGTACTTAAGCTTTCATAACTTTGCCTCGAGAAAACGTATACAGTAACACAGATATTTGATTATAGATGAAAGGAAGCATTATAATGGAGATAACAATTTTTAAAATCCATAAAGACGTTTTCAGTATTTCTTGATATGTTTTGGAAAATGTAAATTCTTTGTCAGATCTACTCTGTGAGTGTTTTCTGACTGGATTATTAGCCTGTCTGTGTATTGCACGTGCATGCGTCCGTGCAGGTTGCAGAAGGACGGGCAAAGCCTCCTCCGTTCTCTTACTCCTGCGGCCTGACGGGAGGAAATAAAAGAAAGAGAATTGACTTCCACTCCACTATCACTTCACTTCACTTCACGACAAAAGCCCATCCCTCCATCCCCGCGGTCGGAGAGAAAGAAGAGAGGACAGCGCTCACCACCACCATAACCACCACTTACAGACAATGAGGGGAACACCGCTAGGAGGAGGGAAAGAGGAGGGATATGGAGGAGGAGGAGAAAAGACACGGGGGGGGTGGAGGGAGATGGCAGAGGAGAGGTTCTTCTCCCCAGCGATGGGGAGGTCTTAGGACGGAGACTGGAGGGGAAATAGAAGGGAAGAAGTGGAAGGTGGGAGAAGGAGGTACAGAAGGAGGTGACGGTGGTGGTTTGGGGTGGGAGTTGGAGGAGTAAGGTGGGGAGCGAGTCTACCTTATAAGCGACCCGGGCAGGACACCTCTTCCCGAGGCCTAGCGGCGGACACATGTGTCTTAGCATCTGATACATGTCTGTGTAACTGATCCGGCCACTGGAGTGGCCACACAAACACAACCACACAGACATCACATGCACACATGCATTCACACATTGGACCCATACGCACACACACGTACGACAGAACAAACGAAGACAGACAATGTGAAAACGAACAAAAGAAAAACAATGAGGGGCAGGGAGAGGGAGGACGCACAGAGGTGTGTGAGGAAGAGGAGACATGAGGAGAAAAAAGAAATAAAGAAACCAACAAAGGAAAGGAAGAGGGGGGGGAAACAAATACACAGAGGTTATTGTTTTGATCGCTTTGGATCTGTGGTTGTTTTGGTGAAAGAAAGAGAGAAAATTAGAGAAAGAGATAGATAGAGAGAGAGGGAGGGAGAGAGAGAGAGAGAGAGAAAGTGTGTTTTACATGGATTCTAGTCTGGTTTTTCATAAAGTAAGGGGAAGGAGAGGAAGGAAGGGAAGAAAGGAGAAAAGTTGAGGAAGGAGAGGAGGGTTGAAGAAGGTGTTATTTAGTTCAGTTAGTTGTCGTTGAGATACCGTTCTATGCGAGGTGAAAAGGGGATTGTAGATTTTTCGCCGCTCGAATAGAACTGGCAGCGGGGCTTCTAGCAGGCAAAGAAAAGCACCGCTGCAGAGATTGAAGTGAGTCACAATGGCAAGTCAATGCAGTCCCTAACTGAGGCTGCCTGTCCACCAGGAACCTCTGCTCACATCTGTACCTCGAGGTGTTCATTGGAAGAGTTGTGATATCCCAACAGTGCTAACAGCAAAGCCTTGGCCGTTGGAAGATCTGCTCAACCTCATCACAAAAATACTTCTTGTAGATTGCCTATCGGGTTATCCTGCTCTGCTGGTACTTTCAAGTTTTATGAGCACAGGGTCATAGATTTACAACACTTTCACAAATACAGTCAAGGCATTTAAGCAGTTCCAAGTTAATGATTGTTATCCATACATTCATTAAACAGAATGGGACTAGGGCAGTATTTAATCTTATACCATGGTCTGGTTGAATACCCGATTCTGATTGGCTGAAGGATGGCATGTGGGTGACCTAGCCTAAGTCTTTTCTAGCCTTAAAAATTCTGCTGGCTGCACGCAAATTCCGCAACTTTAGAAATAATTGAATAAAAAAAACGTAAATGTAATGTAAATCTTATCCCAACAATGAGTGTGGTCCTTCTCTGCGTCTTCCTCTGAGCACCACCAGATGACGCTCGTACACACAAGCTGCAAGAGGTAGCCTTTATTAAGGGCTGGAATGTTAGTAGTAAAATGAAGTGGTTAAACTAAGTGTCCGCTGGTTAAACTATACGATGTTCAGTGATGGTTATCTCATGAAAAGGTGAGAAAGCCCTAAGTTTTATTTGAAAAAGGTTAGTGACATTGACTGATATAAAGCGACTGTCTCACTTTTTGGCCCTCTACCTCAGACTGCACCTGACAGTACATAGCATCAGTCATTGTCTTAGTGACATTTTTTTCATATATTTGGGGACAATGACGTGGCTGGCTGGCCAGCTAGACTTGTTGTTAAACATACTGGACGATAACATCTACTCTTTGTCCACTGTACGTAATGTTATTGAGAATCTTGCAAGCATAACATTAGCTGTATGGCTAACAGCTGAGCCGAAGGGTTCAATCAGCTGAGAGGACTAGTTGTTTGTTATATTTTGACAGCAAATCTCAGGGATATGGATTGATGATCTTTTATTTTTTTCATTAGCAAGTGACCATAGTATAAGCGGGGTAGGCTAATGCCCTTTGAGGTGTCCATAATCAGGAATTAATGGACTTCGCGGAGGCAACTCTGCTGCGCGTTGGACGGTTCAGGCCTTTCGTGATAGTCTATTAAAAGCCTGAATGTAGTTGTAGTGATGCTGCCCATTGGTTTCTGAAGAGGGGCTATTAACTAAAACTGCTTTTAAGTGATTAAACTTTTTTGTCCAGGGCGGTTTGTTTGAAGTGGAAGAGACTTCTGCAGATACAGGTAAAAAACCCTGTGATGATAAACACTGAGGGATCCTAATCTAGAACAAGCTTGGCACCTAGAAATTTTATTGTGATATGGCTTTTAGCATTTGAAGGAAGTTGAAGTGAAAACAAAGCAGCACCTTTTAAATAATCTTGACAATTGTAAATCAACTGTTGACATCATAATAAAAGATTATTCCCATGAGCATCTGATGACACAGAAAGTGATGAAGAGGTACTTGGTGGACACAAGAGCTTTTTATTTCCAAAGTCCCTGACCCTAACCACACACACACCCTGCCTATTTCCTTTTTTCCCCATATGTCAAAGACACAAACAGAGCAGGTTTGGCCTCTTTAATACAGTATTTAAGGTAATAGAGAATATAAAGTGTTACCATAAGGCCTGTTACATTCTCCACTGAAGGTATTCTTATCCAAACATGGTCATCAAAACTTCCAGCATACACATAGGAGTAAATTAATAATATAGAGTTGACCATACAAATGGCCAAAAAGAAGAATGGGAGGTTCAGTTTGACATTATTAGGACAATATAGGAACAGAAGATCCTCATGGGAAATCAAAATAATTTCTATTTGATTTGTTTTGCCACAAGAGCTGCTTACTATTGCTAGTTTAAGAAGCGTGACTTTGTGGCAAATTTAAGCAAAAGTTGGACAAGTTTTTAACATATTTAGTTATTGTGTAGATGCCTAGAAATTTGTTGTAAGCATTTTTAAGTGGAGCTTGTAAGAGGCCTGACAAAGTATTGATACCTGAAATATTTAAGGCCACCATGTGTAGAATTAAAACATTTGGTCTACCAAAGGTAATATTGGAAGCCTCTTGACATTTGGTATGTAAATATAAAAAGGTTATATGATACCAAAGGTTTCAGTCTCATATAATATACACAAAAATTTGAGTGAACATTGCAGTTATTACTAGAAAATTGTCTTTCCTAGGCCATCTCTGAAGACTTTGGAGGAACGGCTGATAACAACAATTTTCATCAATGTTTGGCCTGTGGAGGACACTAGCACTGTAAACAGCTAAATAACTGCAGTTTGACATTTACTATAGTTCGTTTGCTCTGTTAAATGCATAATTTTAGCATTAATATCCGAGTATAACCTCGCCCAATTTAAATCCCATATACAGAGAGTTTACGTCAATTTAATTAACAGCATTGTGAATTTGGATTGAAAAAAAAACCGACTTATGCTTTATAAATGCTTACTTTTATGTACTTGAGACCCCAAATCAGTACTTAGAAAGCTAGTCGTAGTAGTAGATTTCTGTTTCCAATGTGTTTAATTGTTTAACCGCAATTGTAATACCATATTATTATTATTATTATAAAACCCCTTTAAAAATCTACACATAGGGGCTTTAAAATGTAAAATGAATTATTGCAGACTGCTTAGTAGTGTTTTACAATCATGTGTAAAGGAGGCAAAATAATGAAGGGTGTGTTTAACAGGAGATTTACCCTGTGAAGGGCTATACTCAGAGGTAACAGTTCATAATAACTACACGCTATAAAGCATTAATAAATACATAAATAATGAGTTTGCCCTTATGGTGTGTTCACTTCGTTCACAGAATATTAAAGAAGCTACTTTCAATGGAACTTAGCAAACCATCAATTGGAGAGTAAGACCATCATTCAGCCCGGGGGCGCTATAACCAGTGTTTATGTCTTTCTATGTTCAAAGAACATTGAATTTTGAAAAAAAAAGAAGTTTTTAACTGTCTTTTTTTGATAGATTGTGTGGGTCTTTGATGTGGTTGTTTCTGTTGGTTTTTTAAGTGTATATTGTTTCTACTGAGAAAGAGAAAAACATTATGTCTGTGTGGTGTCTGTTTCCTTGTTCTGATTTCTGAGACTTTCGTGAGTTATCTTATTAGCCTTAAGTTATTATGAAGTGTTACCTTATCAAATATAGCAGACCATTGAGCCTTGATGTCACGTGGCTGGAAAACACTGGCCTTTATCTTACATCTTTGTAGTTAAGCATGGTTACAGCATTCAGACCAAGCCCTCTCTGCAAATGTCTCTGTACTAAAGTAAGCCCACCCCCCCTCACCATAAAAAAAACAACACTAACTCAAACATGAACAATGCACATTGCTCAACCATTTTCTGCCCAGGCAAAAAGTAGACAGCAAGCAGAAATAAAAGACAATGGCTGACTGGAGTCTAGACTCTAGTGTTTACATATAATACTGAATTGAAAGTGAAAACATCAGTGTCATTTTCCCAGCGTTCAGTCAGAAGACAATAGCAAGTGCAGTGCACCACTTCATGCTTCACACACCGCTATTGGTGCGTGTGTTTGTTTGTGTGAGTGCATACTAGAGTGTGTGTGAGTGTGTGTGCATTTCTGCATTGTCCCAAACATTCTCATTGTCATGTCAGAATGCATATAAAACAGAAACCCATACCCCAAAATATGATTCAATGGTGGAATGAGTATAAAACAAGTGAATAATGCAATCCAAAAAAGAAAAAAAATCAAACCAAACTAAATAAAAAGTTGAAGTAGGAAATTATTTGTTTTAAAAGTAATAAAGAGCGACATTCATTCCAGTCTCTAAGGCGAGCAGGTTGCGTTTTAAGTTTGTGCTTTAGGGGTTTAGTCCAAACCTTGCAGGCCACCCTATGTGGGCATTTCTTGCCAAGGCCCAGGGGAGGGGAGATAACTCGTAATAAACTGTACATATCCTTATAATGTATGCGCCCACTGCAAGAAAAATACAAGGAGGGGAGGTTAGGTGAGGAACACAGAATACAGAGAGAGAGAGAGAGAGAGAGAGAAAGAGAGAGAGAGAGAAATAAAGAAAGTGGATCGAGAAAAAAAGAGGAGATAAAATGAAATAAGAGGAGAGTAAGGAAAAGAAGAAGTTGACACTGAGAATACACAAACTCAAACAGAGGAGAGAAGAGGAAGAAGAGAGGGATACATTCATCATAACTGTGCACAAGGTCTGCAATTTTAGAAGAAGGCAGAACATATCAGAAATAAGTAAAGAGAAAAAGCTCTGCTTAAACAGGCTTGCTTTTTACTGGCCAACTTTTAACTTAATCTATGATGTCGATCATCGCTTGATGTAGATCCTGATTAATTATTACACTTCTGCTGAGCCTTTGCCCCATTTAGGGCTGGGAGAGAAAGTCAGGGGTTAACAGATGTGTTACAATGATGATAAGACTGCCCTACTGTGTTAAGAAGTATCTAGAATTATACTAAATTGAAAAAAAATGAACGTGTAATCTTGTTTGAAACTGTTTGTCAGTCTATGTGTTCGCTATTCCCAGTGTATATTTCTGCTATTTCATTGCCTTGTGTGTGTATGAGTGTTTGTGCACCACTTACCAGGCTGCAGGGTCGTACTCGGCCCATATCCTTACATACTCATCCAGGTGATGCGGCCCCAGGATCGACGAGTCTCTGGTCAGGTACTCAAAGTTGTCCATGATGACAGCCACGAACAGATTCAGCATCTGGAATAAGGACGAGGTAAATACTCTCATAACAGGCCTGGGAGATTGATTAGACTAAACTGTAGCAAACTGTCTTAACCATCTTGTAACATGGCATTCATTATAAAGGTAATAAATCCACACTTCAAACATTATAGAGTAATATCAGGAAAATATATACTGCAGTTTTATTATAAAGGGATGGTTTACCAGATTTATGTTAAAACATTAACAAATGCCCATTCTGAACTGATTGAGTTGATGTTTTTTTCTGTCTTACCAGGAAAGAGCAGAGGAAGATGAAGGAGACAAAGTAGGTGTAGGCGAAGGTGCTGCCACATTCAGGTTCCGTGTTTCCTGTTATCGGGTCGCATTTTTTACCTCCCAGGCAGGCCAACATGATATCATGCCATGCCTCACCAGTAGCGCTCCTGCACGAGGGAAAACACACAAAGAGTGACAAGAAAAAGTGAGGACACATCTTGGAGCATTTATTTGGCACTTCAAGATGTAAATTTTCTACATTACATACAACAAATAGCAACAAATTCTAATAAATAAATTCAGATTTTCCTCTTTATTCCTGCTCTAGTGGAATGCTTAAAAGCTGTGATAAAGATGATATAAATATAAAAAATCTGACATGTCTGAATGATTTTCACTGCTTTATGATTGATATGAGAGTGGAAAAACCCGATGAAAAGTAAAAATCCGGACGGACATTATAGAAAGGAAGCCTTTGTCTTTAACTATGAAAGGAAAGCTTAAAGACTCACCTGAACAGCAGCATGAGGGCCATGATGAAGGTTCTGAAGTTGTTGAGATCGTTGATTGCAGTCTTTCTCTCCTCATCCAGTGCCAGATTCCCAAACAACTACAGACAGAAACAGCGGGACAAAGAAAGCAAATGCCACCACCATCAACCCTGTAACCTGTGCGTATAACACCTAACCTACTCCAGAGCAGGTTATTTTTAGGATAAGAGATCATCCTATAAAAAACACAGCCCAATTGGTCAAAAGACACCAACCAATCAGATAATATTATGGAGCTCAGTGAGCTGATCGAGAGAGGGGAGGAGGGAGAGACACCACGAATAGTTTACACTTTGTCTTTCCCTTATTGGTTTTCATTGGCAGTATATTCATCCTTCAACAGAAATGGAGAAAGCACAGGAGCCTAGTTGTGTTTATAAGATGTAAAATGACATTTACTTATGAATTTGATTTATATTTTTGAGTAAATATTTATAGGCTATAAACGCAGAACCGTTCTGCTTGTGACCCTCAAGGCTGCAGCTGAAATATTACGTCTAAAACTGTCATACACACCCTGAGAATTAATCCAAGCAAGGAATGAATTTAAGTGAACAAATAGGATTTATGATAGTCAAATCTGAGGTGCACTAACGATGGCAGAGACATATTAAAAAAGCCTTTGATTTAAGTCTGAGTAGCTGATGTGTTTTACCCCTTCATATTTGCTAATATCAAAGATTTCTCTGAGTGTGTAAAACATGATCATCTGCTGACTGCAGATTTGAGCATGTCTGTTATTAGTCACATGCTGCCCTTTTCATGCGAACATGCCAAAACAAACCCTGGTTTGACTTATCAGGTTAATAACCAGCTTTGTGTGAATCTTTAGCATCATATCCTCGTCATACCGTTATAGGCTCCTTTTATTGACTTTACGTCATACATCGACATTTGTGAAGCACTGTGTGTGATTTTACATGATGGTATGACATGAGGAAAATGTTCTGACCCCCAGCCTACAATTAACCCTTTACCTGTAAATCGAATACAACATGTCCATGTTCATTTGTACTCACCTGCATGCCGATGATGGCATAGATGAAGAAGAGCATGGCAATGAGCAGGCACACGTATGGCAGGGCCTACACAAAACGATACAGAGAGGAAAAACTTAAGCTGTTACCCATTTTTTTAATGCTGTTATAATGTTTTTTTTTTAAAACAGTAAGGGCTCTCTTCAATTCAATTTAAAAGTTAAAGTCGACTAAAGGTCAAGTGTAAATCATATAAATCATTAAACAGGCCAAATAAATCATCAATAGGAATGCTACTTCAGAGAAAACAGACGTATGATTCTTTATAACAGTCAACATTAGTATTAGTGCATTGCTTTATTTAAAGAAGAGAAAACCTTTTAAATCTCGGTCCTACATTTACATATTTTTAGGATCTAAATTAATAAACTGTATAATAATTTGAAAACTGTATCAGAGATCTTCCTCAGCTGGCATTTGGAATAGAGCTGCCTTATCTCAGAGCCACATGAAATGTTCCACAGGGCTCCATACAAGGCCCTCTTTTATTGCTTAATAACAACCCAAGTTGGAATGTGATGAAATGCAAAACATTGAAAATAACACAAAACAACAAAATTTGCAACTTATTCTCCAAAAACAATGACATTTCTTAATTTCACCATTTGATATGATGGCTTATGATTATTTCAATTAAATATGGGGTTTCAATGGTTTAAAAAAACATTACATTCTGTTTTTATTTACATTTTACACAGTGCCCTAACCTTTGCATGCTTCATTGTGATTCTATCTGATCTTTATTTAAATTGTGTATGTGGGTTTTAATAACTGAATACCTTGAAGGACTGGACAAAGGTCCACAGTAAGATGCGGATGGTTTCTCCCTGTCTCAGGAGCTTGATGAGGCGAGCTGCTCTGAACAGCCTCAGGAAGCTCAAGTTGATGAAGTTGTTCTACAGCACAGAAGAAAGAACACAGTCAGTTTCACTGCACGTGAATATACAACACCTGCACAACATCCCTCTACCAAACACAAAAACAAAAACAACTTAGCAGCAGAAGAAAGAGAACTGGGGGAAGGTGTTCAAACCCAACAAAACATAACCAACTGCAAACAAAATTGCTTGTATCAGGTACAAGTATAAATGAGAGAAGGATAGATAAAAGGTCAAAAGTCAAAGAAAAGAAGGAAGGAAAGTTGAAATAAGGAAGAGAAAATATTTTAAAGAGCAAAGAGTTTAAAGGTCATCATCCAATCTGGTACAGCAGAACGCTTTTTTTTAGAGAACCAAATGCACTGATCTCTGGGGGGCAAGCAGGCCACATAAGATGAAGCACGATGCACTTTGCCTGTCAACCACACACACACACACACACACACACACACACACACACACACACACACACACAACACACACACAACACACACACGCTGAAGAGCGTGGCTTGGGGCTGTGACATCTAACTTCTCTAACAGCACATATGTGACTTGGATAACCTTGTATTTTCATACTTGATTTTACTATAAACATTTTTTTTTTACTGTATGCTTTTTAAGGCATTCTGCCCAGAAAACTGGTCTTATGTACATCACAAACTGTCTTCGCTTAATGCATGCTTTATGCATTGAAAATCTTTATGGTTAAATCTTGACAATAGGAAAAAATACACAAAGTGTACTTTCCACAACCAGGCATGACTGGTTTGTTGATAGTAGTTTTTTCATGGTTTTGTTCCAGCATGAACTAGTTAATGGTTTGGCACTCACTGTGGAACTTATAAGAATTCAGTCCAATAAATTGTTGGATTTTATTGCATTTTCTTTTTTTTTTTTTTACATAGTCACAGAGAGAATAATGTAAATTTCAGCAGCCAGACTCTCTGGTCATGTCCTTGCACTGTGTGGTCAACAGGCAAGGCAAGGAAGAAGCATGACGTGGGAGAGGTGGGAGAGGTGGGAGGAGGAGGGAGGAGGAGGGACGACGATCTAGCATACAGCCTCAGTGCAGGCATGGTTTGGCACGGCAGCAAACTTGAGAAAAAAAGATCTGGCCCACATGCAGACCAGTCTGCGCCAGTGTCGCCAAGCAAATAATAAACTAATTGTACTTAATTTAATTAGCTGCACTAGGATAGTTTGATTTCATTCTATTAATGAAAAAAGAAAACATCTTCAAATGGATTAATTGCTTGATTAGTTTTATGAATAACTGAAACAAATAAATATATGTAACCCTAAGTAGCTGGTCTGTGGTTACCATGGACACAAACAACAAAGGAAGTTGTTTGGCAAAAGTTAACCCAAAGGTACATGTAAGTTATGGAACTACTATTTACTACTATTTGACTATTTGTCATATCACATTCAAGGTTGTGATCTTGTACTGATCATCAGCACTGCTGTGATGATCTTCAGAATCACCCAACAAGCCTCAAGCCTTTGAATGAAACACAACAGCACTGACATTAAGTACAACATCACTTCCTGTGATTTGATATTGCTTAATTAATGTACAAAACGTTACAACTGTTATCTAAGGTTATGTAGTGTTTTTATGCTGTAGCAGTGTATTACATTAACAATGCACTGTTTTATGTCAACAGGTACAAAACTTAAAAGATTAACATCCAGTGAGCGCATGCACTGAGATCAGAGGTTTAAAGTGGTCGTGGGGGAGGGGATGATCGGGGGTAAGGAATGGGTCTGGGATACACATGACCAATGAGGATGCAGCCGAGAGCTTTGAGAGATATATTACAAACCAACCAGATTCTACATGTTTGAAGATGTAGAAAGATGAATGGGGAGGGAGGTTTTTGTGTTGTTGTTTTAAATATATTTTGGTTGTGAGTGAAAGACATTTTTTCAGGGCAGGTGGAGTGGGGGGGGGGTTGTCGTGTGTTTTATTGGTCAGGGGCATGGGGCCAAAAGCACACCATCACCACCACCACCATAATCATCATCATCATCATAACAGCACCACCACCACATGTCATGGCGCAGCACGGATGGAGAACACAATGAAGGATTTCATAGTGCATTTTGATTGGATGGATTTTATCAGAGGAGGAGGGGAGTGGGTGTAGAGCGCCAACAAAGTAGAGAAGTTTAAAGAAAGCATGTAAAGAGATAGAAGAGGAAGACGGAATCATTATGGGTGTCATTAAAAAGGCAGTGAACTTCAAGTCAAACAACAACAGATACAATAGATCAGCCCCTCTTTGATGCCAGCTTTACAGGAAAAGCATAATGTAACTAATGATAAGAAATAAACTTATTTCAAAGTGGTCAAAGACAGGGATCTGTTCCCCTTCGAAATTATGAAGGTATCTCATGTTGCTTTGTTAATGTATTTTAATTTAAACCATGAATGTATTTAAGTGAATGATTCCTCTCACTGACTCATACTTCTTATTCTCACCTCTACCATGGAAATTATGGCTAATGATGTAATGGCCCTTTTCTCAGCAGCATTACTTAACAACTACTAAATAATGAATAAGGGACAAAGCAGGAACCCATTCCATTTTGGAAAAGACAAAATAAGTTGCATTGAGTATATTGACTTCTCCAAGTTTGGAAGATAAATCTTTATGTCTTTATAAGCTATTGGGGTTCTTTAGTAAGTGAGCCTAACAGTTTGGCCTTGTTTTATTGTATGCAGGGCTTTCTTTCCCCTTCTATGATTTGTTGGCTGTCTTGTCTGTCAGTAGCATAAAAGAAAAGGGACTGGGCTTTTTACAGAGGACATGGTCCAAGAATTTTTGGGAGAAAATAGTCTCAAGAGCTCAAACAAGAGAACTATTGGACCAGGCAACATGTCAATATCACTTTGTGATCACTTGAAGCTTCTACCTAATTAGCTAGCTTGTGGAAAGAAGAGCTCCGCTCAACCAGTGGGTTAGATGCTTCAAGCTGGCATGGAATCAATGAGATGTCTGAAATGATCAGTTCAGGATCAGAAACAGACAGCGATTAAAGTCTGCTCAGACAGAGAGGAAGTAAATTAAAGGTGTCTTTAACAATCTGAAAACAAAGTTTTGTTGGGCAGTAATCAGCTCAACAACTTCCAATTGAGTCAGTGTGGCTTAGAGAAAGACTTGTTTTGAAGATATATTTTCGGGCTTATTAACCTTTGTTTAAGAGACAGGACAATGGATAGAGTTGGAAATCTGGGATAGAGAGAGTGGGGAATCAAGTGCGGAGAAACTACAGGTCAGATTCCAACCCTGCCCACTTGAAAGTCTATGACCTCCTTACATGGCATGTGCAATCTAACCAATAGGTCAACCAACGTCCTGCTGAAAGAGAGACTTAAATAAAAGTCAGAGAGATTTAATAGGCGTAGAAGTTAATGCAAAACATAAAGGCCCATTTATTTAATGTATCTGGACTTCAGAGAGGGGCTGACATTTTCAATACAATTTCACAAATGGTCACTTATATATTTATAACAATAAAACACACAAACATGCTGACATACAAATAAATCACAGTCAACAATAAGGTTAATATGAATTTCTGTAACATCACATTAACGGCACAATCTGTCATTCATACAAATCCCTACATTACCCTCAACATTAAACTTTACAGGTCTTTTCTGGAGCTGTACTTCACTTCAGTGATTGAAAGATACAAGTAGACCCTTTGGACTTCATAATCATTTGGAGTTTAGTGTTGAAGGATTGCTTAATACCAGTCCAAGACTGAACAAAACAATTTTCTGTCACTATGTGATACAGTAAAGGTTTTTGAATCTTAAACAACTGGGCTCTATGATAAGTTATGCTTAAGATATATTGTGCTCTATCCATCAGATATATGTAATATAATATATGTCAATCTACTGTCCAACAGGCTCCTACAGGAATTGTACATGATTGTGTTACCATATTATCACCAAGAGTAAACAGGAAATGTTACAACCGATCATGAAAACAAAGATCTATCAAAAGTCAGTTAACAGATATTAAATAGAAGACAGACTTAATTTTTGGAACCAGTTGTATGTGACAAACCACAAACTTCTCTCTGCTGCAACCAAATAGTACAGTTTTCAAAATCTCCTCGGCACTTACCCCTAGTTCTGTCACTAAAATGTCAGTGATACTTCCAAGGACGGACACAAAATCAAAAATGTTCCAGGCATCTCTGAAGTAATTCTGTTGGAAAAGGAAAAAAAAAAAGATACATTAAAAAAAGACAGAGAGCTTGTTCAGGTAACCAATCCCAACCTTGTGGAGCTGAAGCCTGTGGAGGGCAGTCAATTACACACCCCTGGCCACTGGTGGTGGGGTTACCGTGGTGACAGACTGGATAGAGGCTGATAGCGTGTCTGCCATTTGGCACGGTATGCTCAGGGTTGTTCAGGGACAGGAAGAACATGCTCTGGATCTGTCTACTGAAATAACCCTCTTTATAAATTAATAATGGGATGACGTTTACGGCCTTACCAGAGGGCCGAAAGCGATGATCTTCAGGATTGATTCCATGAAGAAGAATGTGGTAAACACGATGTTAAGGTTCTTCAAGACTTCATCATAGGTAGTTGATGCACCGTCAAACTAGAAGCACAAGGACAAGCGTTGTTTTAAAAAAGTTTAAACATGTTGATGTGGTATTAAGGAAAAGGTCATCTATGATCCATGGTGATGAAGAAAATGGACCTTTTTTTCACTCTTTTGTTTACATTAAGTTCAGAGGGAACTTACAATCTCATTAGCTTTTTGGGGCTCTTCTATGTTAACAAGTAGTTTACTAATTTTGTCTGTCTGCCTTTTAGTGATGCACTGTTAGCACAGAGAGTTGTACAAGCAACTTGCTTGTACAACTCTCATGCAATAAAAATCAAACAAAGCAGCGAAGTAGAAAATCAAATGGGAAAAATGTGTTCTGGAAATGGCAATTACAAAAACTAAATACATTTTTCATAGATATAATTCAAAACATGAGATATGTACTGTTAATCAATAATAGCTGATGGGAAGCAGGCTTGTACCTTCATCATGAGGACAATGGTGTTGAGCGCGATTAAAGCCATGATGCTGTACTCGAAGGGGGGGGACACCACAAACTGCCACATGCGATACTGGAAGCTAAGTTTATTCTTCGGCATATGGCGAGTCAGAGGCCTGGCGTTAATGGCGAAATCTATACACGCCCTCTGTAGGAGGAAAGAATTGGAGAGGAGAGAGACAATATTTACTTTTGAATTTTCATCCCCTTTTGCTTTTTGAAAAAGTTGCCATTTCTAATATTTGACCCCTGATTCCTCCTTCACCTCATTCTTTTCTAAGCTGTAGTCCTCCATCATTTTATCCCCCTGTTCCTGGAAGGTGATGATGATGAGGGCCACAAAGATGTTTACGAAGAAGAAGGGAAAGACAACGAAGTACACCACGTAAAAGATGGACATTTCCATCCGGTAACCTGGGCTAGGGCCCTGATTCTCATAGGTGGAGTCCACTGAGTGTTTTAACACCCTGCAAGAGGAGAAGATAAATATGATTGAAAAAATGAACAAAGTTGATGGTTAAGGAAATGTTATAATAAGAACAAGAACTGGTAAGTATTATAGCAGTTGTTAGAAATAGCAATTCCTATAACAAAAAGATTGCTATGTGTTTGTGTTAATCCACTCACTGCGGCCACCCCTCTCCAGTGGAGACAGTGAAGAGGGTGAGCAGGGCCCAAGCCACGTTGTCGTAGTGAAAATCGTACTTCTTCCACTCCCGCTTCAGAGCTTTGACCTCATCCTTTTCATAATCCAAATACTCGCCCCTGAAGTGAACACACAAAGTTTCAGATGAAAAACAAATTTGTATCAAATGGTTAAAACATTCTGAAACTGATGTGCAGAACATTTTGGTTATCGCTGAACATGATGAGATTTTACGGTTTGCTACAGTTTTTCCAGTGAAAACAGACTTAATACAATTTCCAGAAACTCCTCAAGATGGCAGCATCTGCACAGCTGACACCATTTGATTTATGTCTCCCTCTTAACAGGAGTTAACACCCACATTGCTATATTTTCACACAAATACTTTTGCAAAGTATCTGCAATGAATGAGAACCGCTCTTTGTAAGTATTATACAGGATAGTTCTATGAGTGTAAACGCCTTGGTAACACATAGTTTTCTATTCATTTAAATTAAACAATGTTATTCCCTTTTTCTGAAGCCCCTCAAAAAGTCCAGTTCCTTCAAACAATCAGTCTGGTAGATTCAAATAAAATGGATTATAAGACAAACATTATGTATAATTGTCAGGACACAGTTTAAAGCCACTGTGATAAAATTGTTAAAGTTGACTAATTTAGTGTGGAGCTAAAACATGACCTACATCTGCTAAATATATATATATATATATATATATATATATATAATTTAATCTTCAACCATCTTTGAGTAACATTTTTACAGCACTATGAAAAGTACCACACGTCTTTTCATGTCAATTTCATGTGAAATATTTATAACTGTGGGTCAATCTTTGATCGATCTGGTAAGCTTTTAGTTATGGGTGTCACTTCATATTAAATATGAAGAAAACAACTATTGTTCTGAATTTATAGTGCGCTAACAGGACTAAACCAAATATGGATAAACCAACCTGCAGTCGCGCTCAAACTCTTTGGATTCGTCCGTGCAGTAGAAGAATCTGCCCTTAAAGAGCTGCACGGCCACCACAGCGAAGATGAACATGAAGAGCATGTACACGATCAAGATGTTCAGCACATTCTTCAGAGAGTTGACCACACAGTCAAACACAGCCTACAAGAAGAAGACAATTAAAACATATTTTAGCTGTTGGCTAGCTGGTGTTTGGGAAATGTACACAGCTGATTTTGAAGACTCAGAACAGTATACAGCCTTAAAATAATCCTTTACATATTTCAAGGGCCATGCCACCCTTACAGGCACAAGACATGTTATGAATTTAAAATGTTGAATTATGAGTTTCCAACTGTGCCCTTGTCAATGTAGCAATTTAAGATAAATGGATGTTTTTTAAATACATACAGAGAAATGCTGGTGTCAGTGCTGAAGAGAAAACAATAAAAGCAAGACCAAGAAGTTGGTCCCTAAACTATCTGTTAATGACAGGCCTGTTTTGCCATTTTAATTGTAAAAAAAAAAAAATCAGTGTTAAAAGCCTTAAAAATAAATATGAGTGCTTTGAAGACAAAGAGACAAATTGTTGTCCAAATATTTGAGCAGCTAATTCTTCTTTCCAAAACACCTAAATCCTTTGAGCCAATAACTTTTTATTAAAATTGAAAACAAAAATTTCTAAGTGTAATTGTTAAAAACACTTTAATAAGTGTTTACACACATCCGTTTTTGCTGAATTCAGAGGAGCCTTACCTTTAATTTGGGGAGTCGTTTGATGGTCTTAAGAGGACGCAGCACCCTCAGCACACGAAGGGACTTGATCGTGCTAATGTCTTTTCCCTTGCTGCTCCCCCTGGAGGTCAGCAAAAGCACAACAACAACATTCAATTAGAGGGCAGTATGGTGGAATTCACCTTGTTCACGCGAGAGCCATTTCCTTCTGATGTCATGTTACAACTGGGAAGCTCAGATGCTGTTTTAATGTTGTAGGCTACTGCTCTGTTGTTAAAATGGTCTTTTTATTATGTCACAACTTCCTGACATGGAGTCATATTTCAAGTTTTAATTGCTACTGCTAGACAACAGCCTGCTAAAGGGTTTCATGATATAAGGCTTATGTCAGCTAACAGTCAAGCCAGCTAGCTTAGCTGGAAAGTGTTCTTCTAATATTAGCGGTTGTGACTGAGCTGTCAGGACTTTATAAGTGTTACCAAATAAAGTTGGTTAGCATTCAACCACTTCCCAGCTATCATTAGGCTAACAACTGATTTTGTTGAACCGTGCATAACATTTTTATATAGGCCTACATACTCAGAACAAAGTTAGCTAGAAAGCTGTTTGTACTCTCTTGGTTGTAAAAATGTTGTTTTCACTTAATTTCTACCATCCATTTAAAAAACATGTTTTGATCAACCTAGAAGCTAGAAAATGCAACAAAGAAATAAGTCTTCAGATTTTCTACTTATACAGTTTGCGTTCCTGAAAGTACAACATAATTACAGTACTTGAGCCTCCCACCCTTAACAAGACATTGATGGAAGATGGCTGTTGTGCGAAAATGGTGAATAAAGAGATGGCACAAATATAAAGGACTCCTTCCAAACTATTTGCTAACATCAACTGTTTTGTCTTAAGGGGCTCAAAGCTGAAGTTAAATTAAAAACAACCCCTCCAGTGACAGTCATTAAAGCAACACAAGATGTCAGAGTTGTAGAAATTGTACATTGCATGTACATGGTCCATCAAAATAAACGTTTCAGTGCACGTCAAACATGAAACCGGTGGGAGGTAAAGCGCTGAAGTAGCCTGACTGTTTGGTTTCATGGACACCAACAAGCAGCATTGAAATTATAACATTCACCATCAAACAATAGACATTTGCTCATTCCATAGTGACAGGCATCTCCCGGCAGAGTGCCCAGCCAAACCTCTTTCTTTCTTTTTCAGTGTAGCGCTGTTATCGGTTCTTCGGAAGAAATGAGAGTTTTAGATGTGATCACATGAAGTTTTACGTATTACATGGACAGGATTATGTTGATCTGGTGAACAGTAAATGTTTCACATAGCTTCCTTTCATTTCAGAAAAGGGTTTTAGGGATTCTGTTTTCAGCTACTGAAACCTAATTGCACGGGGCAAGTACGGAAAACAGAGGCTATGTGAGACTCTTGGCACATGGGATGTCGTTTTCTGAACACGATATCGCATGTCAAACAACACCGACAAACAAGTTGCACCAATAGCATCAAATGAGCCATGAGAGCAACGCAGGAATTGATTATGGCCCAAAAGACAAACTCCCTCACTAGTGAATTTTAATGCCCATGTTTCATAACCTAAACCCGTAACTGAACATTCTGCTCATGATTTGTGTGCTAATGATTTGTGTGCCCATTGAACAATATTGAAAAATTGAGGTGTCAAGGGAGTTAAAAGTCGAGTTGATCTTTACAGTGAGTTTATGGGCATTGTTTAAAAATAGGAAGGGGGCGCCTTGATGCCTGCCAAACCTAGGCAGAACACAGATTGTCCATCAAGGCTCACTCTTGAACTATGAACGCAGTTCCCGTGGCAGAAAACGTAAGACAATTCAATTCCAGGCTGATTGATTGAGTCTAAGCCTTGGAAGTACTATGTGTATGTGTGTATGTGTGTGTGTCTGTGTGAGTGAGACTTGATCGATTATCAATAGGCCTTCCCCCTAAGAAGTGGAGTAGGACTGAGGTCTCTCTATCGGAGCAGCAGCAGAGTATTAGAGTAAAGCCCAGTAAGAATTCAAAGTATCCCTACACATGCATACACAAAAACACAAGAACTCACACATGCACGCTCCCACACACACACTTTGAGTCTCACGTTTGATGTGTTTTTTTTACTGTTAAACATTCTTCACTGCAGCTTAAAATTAAAATGTTCTTTAAATGAACATCAAACAATCGACACCTCTAGCACTAAATGTAGGGCATCAAATTGGATGGTTTTCTGTGGCACAGAAAGTACAAGGAACGGTACAATAGGCTAATTGATTGACGGTACAATGTGGTGACAATGAGTACGAACGATCAGAAGAACAAAGAAAGAAAGAGAGAGAAGCCAATTTGATCCGGTTGGTGGAGAGCAGGGGGCAGAGCAGAGGAGGAGGAGTAGGAGGAGGGATGAGGAAGAACTTTACCGGGTGCTGCTCCTGTCGAGTTTCACCGAAGGTGGACACAGCAAGAGTCAGTGACAGCGACAGAAAGAAAGACAGTGACAGAGACCAAAGAGGAAGTGAAGGAAAAGGAGGAGGAAGGGGGAAAAAAGGAGGGAAGGGGAGGGAAAACACATAGATAGAAAGACAGACACACACACACACATAAATAGAGACACACATCGATAGAGAGAGAAACACACAAAGACAGACACAAGAGAGAGAGAGAGAGAGAGAGAGAGAGAGAGAGGGGGTTTGGCAGAAACAGGAAAGAAAAAGTACATCCATATAAGAGACAGACAAAGAAGGAAGGACAGCAAGATGGAAATACCTTATAAGAAATCCCCAACACCCATTCTGGTACACACATCTCTCCCTCTTATTCTACTTCCTCCTCCCACACCCACACCCATCTATCATCTCAATTATCAGTTTATGGAAAGTCTACATACCAGTCTACTCAGAGTCAATGATGTGTGTTCTGCATACTATGACCTATGTAGAATATATAGCCTTTTTCCTTCACATTGCATATTTAACATTACACGGTGTATCAATCTTTATTTATAAATGTTGTATGGATTGATTTTATGACATAATAATGGCTTGTGGTTGTCCAACTGCAAAACCAAAATGTTGAGTATTATCATTTTGGTTGAATAGACTACACTGTCACTTAATTCAAGAATGTTAGCTGTAATAAATACTTTATGCTAATGATAAAGATTTCAGTTCTTCACATGTTTTTCTCACCAGTATAGGTTCACATATACAGTAGATTATAATGTCAAAGCAAGCAGCTTTCTAGCGAATGTGTGACAATTTATGGAAAAAATTTCACTTCAATTTAATATGAATTAAATATTATGGTAAGATTATATATATATAATCTGAAAATGATCAAATAAGTCAATAACCTGAGACATAATAATATCGAAAGTAGAAATAATACATCATTTAATCTAAACTCATTGCTGTAGTACACTCATTACTCTTTGATTACAACATTTCCTTCCACACATGAATTCCCAGGTACCTCTCTTAATATCTATAATAAGAACACTTTAATCAATCTTGCCCCTAGTTGAGACTCTGCATGTACAAACCCTCCTTCCCTCCTGGCAGCCTTCTGCAGTGCTATACCAGCTATATGAAGAATTACCTTCACAGTTGGAAGAGGAATCTCGATTGCTGCATCCATTTACTCCGATTATATTTTATCACACCATAATGATCAATTAGAACAGGCCTACAGCACAAATTGCCCTCATTAGATGTGCAATCATCTAGTGGGATTTTATCAAAGCTCTTCTGCATGCACATTTGCACAGTGGCAGGAAAAAAAAGGCTGGTTCCAGGTTCTCTTGACATGTTCAAACACATGACATAAACTCAGGAAATTCATAGTGAGTGGAGACTCAAGAAACCAGGATTTGTGTGTATTATCCCATACACACACACCATTGACAGAATGAAAATGCATTCTCACAGAGTCCTGCAACGGCATGCAGCTCTCAATTTTTCATTCAGAGTTTTTTTTTCTTCTGGAGGATGAAAGGGAGCAAGAAGCACTATTTGTTGTGTTTAAAACCCATTTAAATGTGAAGCCATTGCACTCTGATCATGCTAATACTCTTTGTCGACAATGGTTCCGTCATGTACCTGCTTTGGAACAATATCATGCGTCACAGTGAAATACTAGTCTGTGGAGCATAATGTGTACTAAAGCTCAGCCTCGGAGCAGGTGGTGTGAGCCAAAAGGTAAAGGAGGAAAAAGGACGAGGAGAGGGAGACAGGTTATGGAGGGAACAGAAGAAAACAAAGGTACGGCAAGGGAAAGGAGGAGAGACGAGAAGAGACCAGCAGAGGAGGGAGAGGAGGCATCTTTACTTCGGCGAGGAGTCATGCTGTGGAGGATGCAGCGGAGTGATTATCAATTCACAACTAGTTGTTGAGTAATATTTAACTTTGATTGAACATTTCCTTCTTTGCTGGATAATAATGATTTTCTTTTTGAGAACCTGTGACTGGTGATAATTTGAGGCTTTTCATTTGAAATGTTGTTGTATGTGAAAAAAAGTGGTGGTCTCACAGAGGTTTTTGAAGTTCCCAAGACATCTTGAAACCACATTTAGGGGTCGGTACAAGTAATGTGTTAAAATAACATGTCAGCACAAATGAAATTATGCCAATTGAAAGTCAATACGTGGATGACTAATGTGGTGGATATAAGAATCCTCAAAGAGGGATTGGTCAATTAAGACAAACTATGTAAATACTAACAGTAAGAAACATATACATATTTCATCTTAACTACTGTATATTTTTCAGAGCGTAACAACGTTTTGTTGCCTTAACATTAACAAGTAGTTCTGGTTCATATTGCCCAGCCCTAACTGGACATCAACAGAGGTCAGGAGGATGCACACACAAGTGTCTCTAATTCTCTCTCACTCACTCTTAGTTTTCATTTACAAACACACAATAAGTCCTTCCAGTATCATTTATCTTACATTTTGAATACATATGTATTTACTATATACTACCTTAGCATAAAGAAAATTAACTCCACCTGCCACATCCTGCCCCAACATGCCTCCCTCCTTCCCTCCCTTGCTCAGTATGATTTCCCCGGGTCGTGCAGAGGAAGGAGAGTTAAATACCTGAGCCTCCGGGCACGTATACATAGTCGGAAGGATGGGTGAGTGCAGATGTTTGAGTGTATGTGGATAAAAAAGAGAGGGGAGAGGGAAGGGGAGGGCAAGGCGATGACCCTTGGGGGTGTTCCTCCCTGTGTTGAACTGATAGCCTGGGCACTTAAAGGGTTAAAGGTGTCTGGGGCGCCCTCACCCCCACAGACTGACTGGCAGGGACTTCCAGCAGAAAGGACGAGAAAAGATGAAGAGGCAGGAGAGAGTGGTGTGGCTAGGTTGGACAGCAGAATGTTGGCTTTAATGGTTGTTGGAGAGATTGGGTGGAAAGGTGTGTGTGATTGACTTTGAAGGATCAGTGGGATTACTAAAAAAATATGGGGATTTATTTTGGACAAGGAAGGAAGCTGGGGTTAGGGGGGGGGAAACAGCAAGCTAGGAAGCAATGGGCCACACTTGTTCCCAACATACAGCATGTAAATTCAATTAATGCATGCTAACAAGCTAAACCGAGATGATGGATTGGGAATATTTTATCTTTACAGTACATTGTTTGTGTGAAGAAGTTAGAATACTAGAGCTAGTATTAATATTAAAATACTAGTTTACCTACAGTAGGTACAGCCTCATATTAGTGCTTTGACTGCTTAAGATGTTTTCAGACAGTTTGTATTTAATTTCACTTCTAGCCAACTGAAGTTCACTAGTTCCCTATTTGATGATCTGTTAGGTAGTTCAGACTTAGCAAGGCATTATGCCAGCATTACTCAGTTGGAAACTTACTTTTGCCCTTAATGTTTCAGCAGCAAAGCACTCGTCTGTCTTGTGAGAATGTCAATTTCAATGGAGGACAAGACTAGCTAAACTTTTCCTGGTTTTAAAAAGAAGTTCGGTTTGTGCCTTTTTGATGTATCAAAGAATGTCAGCAGTATCTCAAGACTAATAAGTCTTTGGGTTTTGTGAATTTCTGTCTTAATTTGTGTCTTGCTTTGGATTTTCTATAAAATTCAACAACACACAACATTGGCTTCCCTTTTGATCTGAATTAATTTGTTTTCATTTTCTAAAGTATACTCTGGGTTTGTGAAGCGTTGTGAGATGGCAGGAAGAATTTGACTGAACATGATGTTTGGTTTTTCATGCACAGTTTGCAAGTTGGAGTATAAGGGGACTGTCTCCAATGGTACTGAAAGACACTTGTTCTCTATTTGCTGTTTGTTAGGAATAAGAGGTGAGGGGTAAGAGGGATGAGTTCAGAAATCAGGTATCACATAGTAATGATACATAGGAGGAGAGAATCTTATGAATGAGGGTGTTGAAAGCTTCCTGGAACCAAAGCTTAAGAGTGGGGAGGGTCGGTAGGCACAGATTAAGGGGGGATCAGGACTTGAGATGCAAGAAAAAAGGAAGGGGTAACTCACTGCCTGTTTGGTGGAAATATCAGAGCGGCATGGATTGTAAGTAATGCACATAAGGAAACAGGAGCAAGGAGGATTGGGAAAAGAAAACGTTTGAGAAGAAGCAGGTGGTGCTTTTTATTGTTAAAGGTCAGACAAAAGTGGGAAATAAGGGTTGATATTGCTTTAAGAAAACTGTCTAAGACTAGATTTGGCAAAGTGTTTACAACAAAGTTGTTTTCAGGTGGGGTCAGAGCTTTAAAATCAAGAAAATAGGAAAGGATGACTTACTGCCTGTTTGGTGGAAACAGAGCGGCATGGATTGGTAAGTAGGGGACAAAGGGAAACAGAAGCAAGGAAGATTGGAAAAGAAAATGTTGAGAGGAAGTTGGTGGTGCTTTATAATGTATACGGTCAGAGAGTAAAGGGAAATTGTTTCAGGAAAGGTCTTGGGGAGTTTTGTTAGGGAAAGGGTTGGGGAGGATCAAAGTTTTTTAAATCAAGAAAAGAGGAAGGGATAACTCACGGCCTGTTTGGTGGAAATATCAGAGCGGCATGGATAGGTAAGTAGGATGAACAGGGAAACAGGAGCAAGGAAGATTGGGAAAAGAAAATGTTGAGAAGGTAACAGGTGGGGGTTTATCATGTACACGGTCAGACAATAAAGGGAAATGAGGGGAGGGATTGGTGTGAGGTGATTGTTTCAGGAAAGGGATGAGATTTGTGGGGTCAGTAGGGTGAGACTAACTACACTCTAAAAAAATACTTTCAGCCCTCAATGGTCCTACACTTGGAACTGTGAAAGCACCATATAAAAGGCGGGGACATCAGTCAAAGTACTGTTACAAATGTTTTGAAGGAGTACCTCTGGTACCCCTTTAGGTACCCTTCAGATTGCATCATTAGGAAATTAAAGCAACAAAAGGGAGCCTGTTTTCTTTTCAGAGTGTAGGTCAGAGGTTGATGATCATTAAAACCATTAGGGAAAATGGTTAAGTTAAGGATGTCAGTTGAAGATGCAAATGAAACAGAGAAAGACCTGCTGATACGATGCCTGATGTCATGATGAACAACGTGGGAACAAAGATTGAAATGGAGAAAGGGTAGACGAGAGGAGGATGGAAAGTGACAATGACAAGATCACAGAAGAAAGTTTTGGGAAATAAAATGAGGGACAGAAAAGAACTATAGCTACAAGAAGAACAAGGCAGGAGTAGAGTGCAGAGAGAAAGAAGAACAGTGCAAAGAAGAGCAAGGGAAAGGTAAAAAGCATTTAAAGAGAATATAAGGTTTAAAGACATAAAGGAGATAAAGAGAGGGCAGAGCAGGAGGAAGCTAGGAAGAGAAAATAGTAGAAAAAGACAATGAGGTGATAATTTCTGAAGTACAGCAGGCTGAGAAAATAGGGGAGAAGGATTAGCTTTGCCTGTTGTGTCCAACGCACAAGGCTGGGCGACGAGGGTCTTTCTGCCGATGGAAGAATGTGTGTTTCGTGTTTGTGGGTGGGTTGATGGAAATGATGAGAGAGAGAGAGGGTGGGGGTACACTTACGTGAAGGCGAAGGCCACCAGAGCACCACTAACCACTATAAAGTCCAGAATGTTCCACAAGTCGCGAAAGTAGGAGCCCTGGTGGAGGAACAAGCCAAGCACCACCATCTGGAAGACACAGAGCACTTTTAGTACAAAAATCATACATTCATGCAATAGTCTAGGGCTGCCCAAGTAGTAGACAAAACTGTTAGTAGATAAGAAGAGACTTATTGGTTTGTTTGTCGCAGAAAAAATACATCTCTGTTGGCGTGTGTGTGTTTGTAAAATTCATATCTCAAGGACTAACAGTTTCCTACATCTTCTACATCTGAAAATCAGGGCCAATAGGAATACTAGCTTGCCAGCATTAAATTAGTGCGACACAGCAGATAAACATCAGCTACTGACATACCACATTATTTGCATATGGACCGGTATCTGTCAACAGTCCCAATATCTGCGAGTACTGTTAAACCAATGCATCCCTGTCTGATGTTCCCACACCCCAAATTAACTTGATTAAATAAAGTGATTTAACAAATGTGCATAGACTTGTCTGCTCATTGCTTAAACTAAGGGCTAAAATTCCTTTATGATCATCTTTGATCGTTGGCAACCCTGAGGTAGAGATATATAACATACTTACACACATCAAAGCTTTAACAATACACTTTAAAGATGTCATTGATATGGGAACAGACAATCAGGACAAACACAAAATAGGCGAAAGTAAGTAGGCACACCAACACAAACATTATTAACATACTAGATTTGCTTTAAAAACCTAAGCAAGAGTCACACATGTACAGTATGCAAATCAAAGGTACTAAAACATGTGTCAGTATGCATACACAAACACACAGTGATACTTTGTTACCTTGATCAACATTTCAAATGTGAAGACGCCTGTGAAAACGTAGTCAAAATACCGCAGCACCTGCAGAGCAACACGACAGTGTGAGATATAGGTATTACATTAGAGAGTAGGAGAGAGAGTACTAGATAGATGAATCATTGAGAAAGAACTACGAAACACAGCAGTAGAGGTTAACAAAGACAAATACAAAAATAATCAAGCACACAGAAGAGCAGAGCAGATCCTAAGTTGCTGAATCCAGTTTCCTTCTACAGTGTTTTCTTTGACAAAAATCAAAAAAATGATTCTTATTCTGGTGCTATAACACACAAGTGTTTCTGGTTTCTTTTGATATTACACAGATACATTTGGTGAGTCAGTATACATGTGATGGTCACCACTGACAAAAGGTGACAGCACACATTACTGCCTTATATATTGTTTTAACTAAAAATCAATTGGGAAGCACTTAAATGATGCATTTACATGTAGTACAAACACATCATTAATACCAACCTTTAACACATACTTATATACTAGTGAAAATCAGCCAAGGTCTTTTCACTTAGTAAGATTTAACTCATTTTATATCTTTGGAAGTCATTTCTTCTTAAAAAGATGTCGACCCAAACACATTTGCAGGTGAAGATAACACATAAAACACGTATACATGCAGAGCCATGTCTTACATTGTTGCGAGGTGATTCAGGCCAGACAGGGTCCTCTGCAGCGAGCGCTATGCTGCTCATAGCGATGACGGACAAGATGCTGAACTCAAAATACTTCAGAGTCAGGATGTAATGACAGCACTTTCGAAACCTGTCGCAAACACACAGACAAACACACACAAATGTTGACAGAGAAAGGCAGACAAACCAAACTGTTTCAGCATTTTTCAGACCTAAAGAGAAAATATTCATAGACTAGTCCTAAATAAGAAAGAAAGTGTTTAACAGCAGTGTTTGACTACGGTTAAGGTTTACACACATATAAATACTTACGGGTTTGTGGTAGACATTATAAAGCAGGAGCTGTAAGGAGGCATGGGTTTGGGGCCGTCTTCATCTCCACCCTCGTCCTCCTCCTCTTTCTTCTCCTCGCTCTTCTTCTGGTCAGTGTTGGCGTTCTTGTTTACTGAGTAAAACAAAGATGACAAAGGAAGAGGAACAGACAGACAGGAAGAGGTCAGCATTAGCAAAGAAGAAAGAAAGAAAACATTGAATGTATTCACCAGGCAAACTGAATAAAACCGGATTCACGTCATAGAGTAAGATAAGTGGTCAAGGGGACAATACAGTAGACCATGTTCTGCATGTTCTATTTTGTCAATAAGCTAATTAACTCATCATGGAGATTACTGCTTACTGTGCAAAACAGCCGTAAAAGGTCTACGGTAACAGTTTGTCATACAGTAGCTTGGACATTGCCTGGAACCATAAGTTGTGATATCTTGGTCTTTGCTAGTTCAAAATTGATTTCATTATACCATTAAACTACATCTCCACATGCTGTGAACTCGGTCAGGAGATGCGAGCGGCGAGTTTTCGATAATGCAAAGGGAATTTGTGTGTTTTTTTTACTGTAAAAATAGACACAACGCTGAACACAGAACTGCAGAGGAACATTAGGCTTTATGTCATCACTTTGGGCCTTGATGACCCGCTTGGTCGTTTTCAGCTACTCAGTAACATAAGTGCAGGTGTCAAATGAGTCTGCATCACAGTCTGTTCTCACCATTAATGATCTTTTTAAGGATAATGAGGCTCTGTGTTAATGTGAGAAAGTCAGATGATTCATTGGGAATAAACATTTAAAAAAAAACAATGAATGCGTTGCTGTCAACATTACTTTGAAGGCGTTGTTCCTCAGCTATCACATTTTATCAGTCAAACATTTCATATTTTGGTGATTCACTAACCTTATTAATTTGCTTTTTTACCAAAAGAAGGGATTAAGGTGCCACTCTTTAATGCCGTTAGGAACAAAGGAATATTGGTTTCAGGTTCATGCCAAATTATAGGTCAAAATGCAGTACTGGGATTTGTTGTTTTGCATTTTAATCTTTTAAACATGAAACTGAAAAAGAATGGTGGATGGCCGATCCATTCCATCAACTTCTTAAATACAGTCTCAATACACAATACACCCTCACCTTGCAGGATGGCGTTGGTGGAGGGGTATGGGTAGACGGGCGGCATGTCTATCTTAGTGTAATCGGGTTTGGCCATGCTGGTAAGGATCAGGCTGTCCATGCTGTGGAGCAGGGTGTGGGTGTCAGCGTCACGACAGTTAAGCAGGTTGTTGACGTGGTCGGGATGGTCAGGGTGATCCGGCGGGAGGGTGTATGGGTGCTCGTAGGCGATGGCCAGCTTGCTGTTGTTGCGGAAGTTGTCCAGGTCCTCATTGTACTGCTGTATGGGCCTCGTGGTGGAGAGGCTGGGACAGGTGCTGTGGTGCTCCCTGATGGTGGAGGGGAAGCAAAGGAGGAGCAGAGGCCAGAAAGAAAAAAGGAGAAATCAGCGGCAGAGGGAATGGCACATGGATAAGGATGAAATGGGTTAAGTAATAGAGGGAATTAGCTTTCAAAAAACACCAGATGTGGCACCATATGTCACAAGATGTGCACAGTTTTCTCTACCACTGGTACCAACACAAACAGAATTACATTATGAACCCTTTGAACTCTTAGAAATAAGTCTATGAGTGGCTGTATTGGTATTGTTGGCCGAAAGGATGTAATTTCTTTGAATATCTTCCAATGTTCATATCAGTAAAATCTGTACGGCAAAAACTAAAAGATTATGAAAGTCAATTAAGCATTGTGATTCACAGAAGTGTTGCAATTTCATCATGAATGACACATAGAAAAACAAAATCTGGTTGTAAGCATCCCAAGTTATTGAAAACATTTGAATGCACCATCCATGTGGTCTAATCCCAGCCAGAATTAGGTGCAACCAATTTCTGATGAGCAACCAAGCAGTCAATCACAAAGGCAGCTAAAGAGCCCTCACTTGGCACCAGTTTTGTAGTACTTAAGATCATTCTCCATCTTTAAACTTTTCAAACTCTCCGTTTCTACTCAGACAGTCTCAGTAAATGAGCACTCAGGATTATATTTCAAAGACTGGCCAAGGCCACATTGAGGGGATATCCCTAAATTGCCTGTGCATTATCTAACTTATAGCTTCATTACTATGATGTGATACACTTCTCCCTCTGTAGCAGGAGTATTTAAATGTGAGCCGCAATAGCTAATGATAATGTAGCTGAATATACATAACCTCCATGCGGCCTGCCTCATCATTGCGCATCGATTGGTATCTTTATTTCAATCAATACACAGTGATGAGACAGGTCACACAGAGGTAATATATATTAGTTACATCATCATTAGCTTTTTTTTTTATAAAATAGGCTGCGTTACCGGCACAATCTAAGGAGTGTCCTGTAGTGTCTGACTGGTCTGGTCTCTGCCTTGGTTCAGTCTAGAAACACCGATGTCTTGATGTCTTTACTTTGGTTAAAGGGGTCTTGACTACAGCCCATGACTGTGCACAAATGTTCTGTGAAAGTTCCTTGCCTGAGTGTTACTTTTCTTCCCTAATTCATTCACAGAGACTAAGGTTGTAGTTTGAGACACACACACACACACACAGAGAAAATAAACCCTTCCTTCACTTACTTTCTGCTGCGATGCCCTCTGCTCTTGTCATGGCTGCTTTGGTGATGCCGTCTCATCTTCCGTCCCTCTCCTTCCTCGCCTTTCTCCCCTTCTCCCTCTGTTCCCTTAGACCTGTGTCTCCTGCCCTCCTCCCCTTCCTTGGCTGCCCTGCGGTGCTGCCTGGACCTTCTGTGTTCATGCTTCCACTCTCCCTCTGCACTCTGATGGTGAGGAGACACGCTGCGAGTCTCCCGGCCTTCCCGGTTTCTGTGCCGGTGGCCCCGATGGCTCTTATGGCTGTGCCTCTCCTCCCCCTGCTGGCTCTCAACATTACCTAAAGACGTGCAGCTTAAACCATGCTCCATGTGGGTCTCCACCTGGACTCCTTCACCAACGTCCGTCCCAGCAGCTCTCTGGTGGTGATGACGGTGGTGGTGGTAGTGGTGGGCTGCTCGACGGTTGTGGTCAATGTCCTGTCGCTGGTACTCCAGGTCCAGAGGCAGCTCACCTGGCTGTGTTTTGTTGGTGTTGTTGTTGCGGTTGTCCTGCGGGTTGACCACCAGCGGCCTGTCCAGGTGGGTCTTCATATCACCATGTCCTTTCCGTGGATACGGTACCTGGGGTCGGATCATAGTAGGGCACAATGGATAAGTCCGAGCTGCTTCAGAGTTTAGATACAAAAAAAAGACCTCACACACAAAAGGCCACATGTGTTCGGTATATATCTTGAAGATATGACATTGTTTTTATTTCCTAAATGAGATGTTAATGGTTTGCCTTTAAATGAACATGTTTTTAAGAAGCACTGGTGTAGAACTGGACAATACGTTGAATATGACATCATTTGTTTGGTTTTGCATATCAAACTAGTTTATACCCCTTTATTAAAGAAAATGACATTTTAAAAGCTGCAGTTTTTGCTGCAGTAGAAGTTTGCGTCAAAGTCGGCAAGAAGAACACATTATAAGCCAACTTTGACCTTCACTGAGGTAGTTTATGCCAAACTTCACCCAAAATAAACCCAGAATTTGTTATTCTTGCATAACCTCCCTAAAGAGATTCTCTCCCCTGAGCCACAGATATCACAGCTGGGCAAACATTCCATCTTTTTAACTCTGTGTGAGCAATTTTATATACAATTGCCATGACTCTATCCCCCCAAAAAGTCTCCAGCTGTGCGTTTGCAGTTTGCCAAGCCATATCCAGTCAACTCTTAATCATCTTCTTGTTTTTGAAGTGTGCTACACTTCGTCCCGCTCCAGTTTTTAGTCCACTGCTTTCTTTGGGTACACAGCTCTGAATTTCTCTGCATGCCCCACTTTAATAATGCATTGCCTCCAAGCACGCAGCTTCAAGCCGTCCCATATAGCAGTGGCAAGCGCAATAACACCACTTTTTCACTTCCTTAAAGGGACATTACACCCTGAAAACAAACCTCAGTGAAGTGCAGGATGACCCAGAATACACAGTGATAAAAAGCACATTATGCCTTTGTGTTAGTTCAGGGTTTCCTCCGTCGATCACTGCACTCTATATACATATCATTTAATTAAAAAGTTACTTTACACAACATTGAAAAGCGGACTTCAACTGACCCACTAGTTTAAACTTTATTGCAGTGCTCTTACACCACTTTGAATGTGTGTGAGAAGTTTTAGGTCAGGAAACCTGATTTCAAGTTTCTCTTTTAAATATGTGTGTTGAAGTGTGTGTATAACTACCAAACTAACCAATGGAGACAGTGTGCGAAGAAGGACTTGTGTTTTGCAAGGTATAAATATTTTGTACAAGCAGGGATCGACATTATAACTGGCCCGGACGCACTGTTGAAAGACCTCAGCCCAGCTGAACGCAACTTCCACTGGCCCGGCAGTGTTTTCACTGGCTCAGTGCCAGGTATAATATATCAATTTTTGTAAATACGCTGGTGGGGCCAGTGATCTTGAAAAACCATTGGCCCTGAGGGAAAAGTTTATGTAAACATTGAAAATATCTCAGACCAGGTTCCTCTTATTTTGTTCAAAGTGTCATGATGACCAGACTCACAATTATGAAAAACCTTCAACTTCCCAGCAAACAAAAAACATTTTTTTTACAGATGAATCCTTATTGACCTTTAGCAGAACAACTGAAACTTGGGATTTTTGATTTAAAAAAGGAACCTGGCTGCAGATAGGAATATATTTCCCTTTCTTTAACCATGAATGTGAATTAAGTCATTTGATTTTTATAACTAGTTTATCAACTTGATAATTATACCTTGACAATGAAATCTAAAAGCTGATTAGAAAAGAGTGTAGATGGTATAAATAACAAAATAAGTGATAGTCATCATATTTATCAGGAGTAAACTGCATATATGTGTATATTAGTGACTTTTTTGGGGAAGGAATTCTCACCTCGTCTCCCTCCCCTTCGACCTTCCAGTCTTCCTGCTCCAGCTCGTTGTAGAGAGCCTCTCGGCTCGTCATCAGGTTCTGCCGCCGGATCTCACTCGTTCTCTGCTCCCACACCGACATGTTGCCCTTGATGTGGTTCTTCTGCTGCTCCTTACTGTTACAGGAGGAGTTGTAATAAGAAGGTGGAGAATGGGGGATTCATAAAGGCAATAAGTGGAGAAAGGAGATTGAGGAGGTTTTAAAAAGCAAAGAGGGGAAAGAAAAGGGGAAATGTAGAGGAAGGAAGAAGCTGTTAGAGATGACAGTTTTTCATAATCATTATGGCTGTTTGTCTAGGTATAGGGCGCAGGTATAGCTCCGACAGGTTACAGTAAAAAATGGCAATCAATAGCCAATGTGTCGAGTCACTGTTTACCTCGTCAGGAAAAACTAAAGGAGAATGACAGGTGACCTTATCATAATGAATAATTTTTACAAAAACTCAGGATTCAAAGTTTTGTAAACCAAAGAAGTGGGGGAGGAAACTACTGTCTATGGACAGCAGTACATTTCCCCTTTCCCTACAACACTGAATTTACAACAACAGCCTTGAATTTTAAATAAAGAAATTACATTCAGGTACATCAACATCCATGAAAAAACAATCCTGGAAGATTATATTTACAACAAAAACACTTTTGTATTTACCAAACCTTACAGTTGTGAGCAAAAGCCGTAGCACAGACAGGATTTCGACGAATAGATTCATCTTAAGGAGCAACATAACTTCAGCAAGCTAGCATAAACTGCTATCTACAGCTCCATTAGCTATACTTGCAGCTCAATACGCCTTTTTAAAGTCTTTATGTAGCTCATTCACACTGTCCTCTCCTTTATCCGTAATTTACGGCATCAAATTGTCTCCACCTAGTTAGCAATTAGCACGTTAGCAAGAAATGTCCGTGTTGTTGGAAATAGGCAATCTTTTTTAATGGATACCAGAAGTAACAAGGTAGGCTATAAAAGTTTGATTAGCACACACTTTTTGTACTTCACTGAAATTGATACATTAATATTACTGTTAAGGTATCATTTGAATATAGGAATGTTTATAAAAAACTTTAGTAATAAAGGACATCTTAACCACAAAAGTTGCATATCACTGTTACTTTACATGTCTGTCAAGATAATATCAAACTGTACTGTAAGTAACTAGAGTATCACAAAAGACCCACCAGTGACTTCTAATCTAGCCAAACACTTGAGCACAGCGACAGAAGAGTCCAGTGACTTCAAACAGAGAATCATTTTGATGTGTCCTATTGTTAGAATTTCTGCTGCCAAGAGCAGATTTTACAGACTGTCCGCCTCTCGCTCTTTTTCACTTCACAAAGCCCTGAATCTGTTCCTTTCACTCTCAGAACAATCACTTAATCATGTTTAGACTATAGAGGATGAGAAGAGGGAGAGTGTGATGGAGTGTGTGTGTGTGTATGTGTGTGAGTGTGAGTCACGTGTATATGAATGCCTGCCAATCAAAAGTGTTAACAGAGATAGATGAGAGAAAGAAACAGTTTATTGTCCGTGTGTGGAATTCTACCAAAGAATAAGAACAAGAGGTGTTTGTGTGTAAGATGTCATTTTGCACATCAGTGTTTCAATCTCCGTATATTTTCGGGTGATTAACATTTTTTCTAACTGTGTTCAACAACTTTATTGTTAAAGCACCTTTAAAAACAGATGTTTACAAAAAACATTAAAACATTGTTTTGAGAGGATAAAAGAAAATAAGAAGACAACATTTAGATAGATTTATGCTTGAGATGAGTGTGTTTGCATGTTTTTGTATGTTTGCCGTGTACCCTGTGTAAATTCTGACTGTGTGTACTCACGCTGCAATAGACAGGTTTGCTGCGGAGAGCGGGCTGACTTCTGCCACTTCTTTAGCCTTCTGCATAGCTGTTTTCTGATTGGCTGCTTCCTCTTGTTCCTCCTCGTCCTATTGCAGGTACAGAAAATCATTTCATTTGGATGATTCAGTTTAAGATTTCAACACACTTAATACATTAAAAGTAAATAATATTAAATGTGTTGATCAGTTTTCAAATCAAAAACTGTTACTCAAATGTTGACAAAACTGTAAGACAATCAAAGTTGACCTTTGTGGAATTTTCAGTGTTTTGTGGATTATTTCATTGCAGTTCTCATGTTAGTCACTTAGAAAAGCTTATTGAACGAATGTCTTCTGGTTTTATCCGGTACCTTTGTGAGCTCCTGAGCGTTTGCCAGATTGTCGACAGCGATGGCCAAGAAGACGTTCAGCAGTGTGTCTTGGTGTCAAAAGTTAAGAAGAAAAATTGATGCAAAGACAAAAAGAAAGGACGGTCTCTCAAGAGAACAGAGAGAAGAATTAGAGAGATGTTGAGTTTAAGATACAGGAAAATTGAAGAAAAGAGAGACTTTAATAACTGAAAGGAAAATAGAAGGACATAATCTATATCTGACACGGTTCAACGTTAGACCCATGTGTATAGGTATATGAGCTTGTGTTATATTTTGTATTCACATGCATGTATATTGTATGTTTGTGTTGATATTTTGTAAATGTTGGGGGTAGGATACAGTTGCCAAATAGTGTGAGGACGATGAAGAAGATGGAGAAGATCATCCCTTTGTCATTGACTCCTCCCTGGGACTTGATGCCGTCATACATCACCGCGTTCCAGTCCTCTCCTGTCAGGATCTAAAGGAGGTGAAGGAGATTTTATTACACAGGTCCAGGAGGTCAAGGGTAACAGCGCACTGCTATGATGTATTTAGAACGTGTGAAGATATAAAGAATAAGACATTTATTGGTATTTATCCTGTGAAAGCTAGAACTTGTGTCTTCAGTCTGCAGTAATTTAAACTCTTAGTTTTACTCATTAATTCAGAAATGAGCATGATGTTTGCAATTTCCCTCATTTTTTCTTTACTTTTGTTTACCATCTGTGGACTGTTGGACAACACCGCTTCATTCTGCAACTTTTTTTTATGTCTAAGAACTTCAAAAAAATGATTCTCCAGATGTCTCTTATGTGTAAAAAACGAGGCACATTTAATTTTAAATGTCCAAGGTAAAACTACGCATGAGAATCACAACTAATGGCAGGCCAGACACAATATATGTCAACACGAACATTCCTTTACAAAGCCGTCCCCATCCGAGGGGACAGAGCACAGACACATTTAGACACATGTAGATCAAGTGCTCTGACAGCCTGATGACATGAAAACATCTGCATCAGTTAATGTTAGAAAAAATGTTTTTATCTGTTCTGAACATGTATGACTGTGAACAAGGATACGTACAGTTTGAAAATAAGGTCATTCATTTACAAAAGGTCAGATTTGACAACCCTACTGCTAAATATGTTAACTAAATATGTTTGGATTGTTTTATCTACATTCCCAATTACAATCTGGTTTAAAAATGAATCTTTTGCTGATGTTTTTTAATGAATAAAGTAGAGTTTATTAACTATAATTTGTCCTGGTAGTTAATCAATTAATATACACTATTTATGTATGACCATGAATGTATTACCTTCTGTTTTTAATGACATTTATTTGCACACACACAACGCCACAGGAACAATGTGGACATCCTAAATAATTATTCAGAGCATGTGTTTCACATTTTCACGATAACAGAATACTAAACTTAGATATGATTCTAGTTAAAATCTAACAATGTTGACACATGTTTCGATACACTGCAACTAAATATTAGATAATATCTTGTTTTTAATTAACAAAAATTGCAAGCACACTGTCTATATTGCACAAATTATTTGGCAATGTTTTGATACTGTACGTATTATGCAATTTACAGTAGACAGGGCTCTCTCTGTCTCTCTTTTGGTTAATAATATACTGAAAATGTTCCGTTTTTTTAAGCTTCTGTGCTTTTTAATTCTTTTGATCAACAGAGATTCTATAGTTTCAAACATCAACATTTTTGACAACCTTTCATCAACAACAGTTTCGATCAACTGCATACAATCCTGCACATATCTTTGAAACTTCCACTGAAGAACATTTCAAATGCTTTATCAAAACACAGAAGAAGAATGGCCTTTACCACAATGTAGTTCTTGAAATGTCTGCCTTTCTAGAGCTGCCTGAACTATAAGGCGCATAAGAACAAAAACAGCCTAGCCAAAAAGTTGTAGACCTTTTGAACTCACAAAGTGGGGCCAACAAGACATAACACAGATCAAAGTGAACTGGGGCCTGACCTCGAACTCTCTGAACACTTTTGGGAGGATTTAGAAGGCAGATAGGGAGAGAGGCCCTCTCGTCTAACATCGACGCCTGACCTTACAAATGCCCTTTTGTCTGAAACAGCACAAATTCCCAAAGAAACTCAAAGAATCAGATCCAAGTCTTGATGCCTGATGTCAAAAATATTGCTGTGCTAGTTAGGTTTGTAAAAAGAGGTCATAGTAGATGTTAATACTATAAATGTGTGCATTTCGAAGAAGCTATAGCTATTTGTTGAAAAGGTGAAGGCTAATTACCTTTTAATGTAAAAAGAGTTTCATGTGTTTCTTTCTCACCTGAAACACTGTCATGATAGCTGCTGCAAAAGTGTCAAAATTAGTCGATGGTGTCCCGTCCTCAAAGTTGAATCTGAGAGGAAGAGAGAGAAGAAGTGAACAATCACATACACAACCAGAAACAACAAATAAAGAGTTAATAGAGAAAAGTGTTGTTGATACTGACTGTCCTCCAAACAGCTGCATCCCCAACAAGGCAAAGACCACGATGAAGAGAAAGAGGAGGAAGAGCAAACTGACGATGGACTTCATGGAGTTCAGCAGAGAAACTACCAGGTTTCGAAGAGGAGCCCAGTATCTGAGGAGGAAGAGGAGGGTTAGGTAAAGGACGCGCCAAAAGCAAGTAAAAACAAATAAAAGATGAAAGAAACACAGAGAGAAGAAACAGGCGACAAATGGAAAATAACATGAGATAACAAGAGATTTGATCTGCATATGTTAAGTAAAAGGTGAAAAACTTATAATTAAATCCCACAATTATAAATCAGTAGACATTATTTTAATTTCACGTGTGGCTTAAAACAAACAAAAAAAAATTTACATGGAAATTGGCAATTTAACAACCTGAGGGCTATTATCCCAGGAAAACAGGTCAATCATTTCATCAGTAATCTCCCCAGATATTTGTTCAAATAAGCAGCATTGTGACAAACATTGAAGCCAAATCCAATTAGAATTTATTTCTTAAAGGGAGCTTTAAAGAAGTGTATCTAAAAAACAAAACTGTTTAGGTGTTACAAAAGACAACTGATCAATCTGTGGAATGTTTGTACCACAATAGGAGTTTTTTTACCACGCTTCTCATTTTTTCTATTGTCTCAGTTGTGCATGAGTGAGCCGATGAGTTTGACTTACTTGGTAACCTTGAAGATGCGGAGCAGTCTCAGAGCTCGTAACACACTGATCCCAAATGATGTTCCTGGTTTGATGAGGGCCCACACCACCTCGAAGATACTGCCCACGATGACCTGCGCGAGCACACAATCAAATTGTCAACAAGTCCTGGTTTTAGTTCACAACAACAACAAAAAAGAACACTAACAACGGACAGATTGGTTTCAACATTGTGTTTAAAACAATGTGTTAATTAAACTGTTTATGGATTTTTGACCATGAAAGAACATTTCTGGTATATAAATTACATGATTGCTTATCATATAGAAATACATCCAGTTGAGCTTCCAGCATACCTCCCTACATATTAACATTGTGTAGGTTAGAGACAGCAATCAAGCAGTCTATATATCTCTCAACTTATTTCCAGTGTGATTTGTTTATATGCTTGACTACCAGCAGAGGTGTTTATTAAAAGGAGCCCTACTGGATTAAACATTATACTGGGAGGGTTCAAGAGTTTTTTTTTTATCAGCAAGCCTCAAGCTGACTCTTGAGGAACTGCAGGTTTTTGCACTCATGCATTGGCTTCAATTTTCAACAGAGGTTACCGCTTGATTGCAACAATATGGAGGGACTGGTTAATATGACCTTGTACATTTTTGATGAATGATAATTAGTTTGAATCCATCAAATAAACAAGAAACTAGATAATGAACCTCGGCCAAAGCAATTTAGAGTCTCAAACTCAATCTGCTTCCATTTAACTGAACACAGCATTACATGGTGTCACTTTCCCATGTTCTGTATGTCAGCATATAACACGAGAGAAACTGCCAATAACTCTCAGCCACAATGTGAGCACGGCAAATGAATGCAGCTATTGCAGACGTATTGATGAGTCTGAATCTGCCTGTTGTTCATTTGTTGCAGAGCAACATGAGAAAAGTGTATTTCTCACATCAGTTGATTAAATTGAGTGTTGTGTTTGTCATCCAAAATCAGATTCGAGATTGTGAGTGCGTGCGTGTGTGTGTGTGTGTGTGTGTGTGTGCTCACCACACAGTCGAAGCGGTTGAATGAAGAGTGGAAGTAGGGCTGGACGCCCAGACCATACATCTTGATCAGCATCTCAGACATGAACAAACCAAGGAAGATAAACTCTGCATAGACTGGGAGGGAGGAGAGTGAGAGAAGAAATGGAGGGACAAAGGAGAGAGGAATGAAAGAAAGAAAAGAAGGAGAAAAAAGAAAGACAGTTAAAAGAGCGAGAGGAAAAGTTGAGTCGGTCGTGTGTTAAAAGTGATGGTGAGTGAGGTCAGGGAGAGATAAAGAAAGAGGAAGAGAAACATGCAGTAAATACAGAGAGAGAAACACAGACGGTGGTAAAAGAAAAAAAAATGAGGGAGAACAAGAAGTGAAGGAACAACAAAAGAGAAGAGGAGAGAGAAGGAGAGAGAGAGAGAGAGAGAGAGAGTTAGATGAGTGGAAGTCAAGTAGTGCGAGCCCAGCGGTGTATGACAGTGTGGTGATGAATGGACTCCATTGGCAGCTACAGCTTCATATGCTAATGACACTGGACACAGGCCAGAAGATTCTATTTGTGGTACACCAAGAGGTGATGTTTTCAACTATGCTTCTTTATCTTAATACCAAAACTAAAACATTGGTTAAAAAAACAGTTTTTTTTCGGATTATAGACATTTCATGTACAGGACCTGTTGTGGTAAGGCAGGAGCTGTTTAATGGCAGCAGGGAAAAATACATATTCTCGATACTAGATATAAGTGGGGACTGTAGGTGGAGTCTTATTTACTGTGATTTTTTAGGGAATAAGCTACTGACTCTATCTTTAACTACAGCATTTCAACACGTCATACAATTAAAGGTCCTCGGTTTTCCTGGATAAGTTCCTTTAATTGGTGATATACAGTTTTTCCATATACTTCATATCATGCATACTGGTAGACTGCATGTTTCATGTGCGTTTTTTACTCACAGAGGAAATCAGAGAGCAGCTCTGGCTGGTCATAGTGCACCACAGCCACACACATGGTGTTAAGGCCCACCAGGCAGAGCACCGTCCAATAGAAAGCCTGCGTCTTCACTATTTTCCGGATGAGGAATCGCATCCGCCGCTCCTTTTTACTGCAATGGGATCCGTCCTTACCACTCTTTATGCTGGAACGTGCAAAACCTGCAAGGAAAACGAAATAAAAGGAACGATTTTTGGGTTTCTTTATTATTTTTATTTTTATTTTTAACATTATTACCCAAACTAACCAATCAAATATGAGGCTGAACCTTAAATTAGCCGAAATAACACAAAATACATTTAAAAAAAATCTCTATGGCTACCTTTCTTCTTTCTGGTAACCATCAATTAAATAAGCACCCATGGGACTTCCTGCCTTGTAGCGAGAGCTGCACATACTTATTTCTTATTTCCACTGCCCTCTTTACAATGCCTCTGAAATGCTCAGAACCTTTCTGAAAACCAAATTACAATGTTGAAATCACAGGGATCCCTCTGTTTTCTTACCTATTGCATCCCCCATGTTGTCCTCTCCCTCCTCAGGGTTCAGCAGCTCCGTCTTGTTGTTTTTGGTTTTGAGGGTTGGCCTTCGCCTTGTACCTTCGGTGAAGAAAAAAGGATTACACCTCTGTCTGTCTGTCTTGATAACTTTATTTTCTCTCTCTCTCTCTCTCACAGTTTGTCACTTGCAGGTGTATTGTGCTCTCAACCTCACATTCACACACAAAGCTGAGTGATGCTGTAGATACATAGATGAAACAAACTTGTACCAAACCAGCCCATGTATTTTAGGTATCAAAAATGTGTCATGTATCATTATTTATCCCCAAAGAAACAAGACATGTATTAAACATGTCTACAGTTCAATAAAACAATATATTAGAAGAGAGAAAAAGTTACCGTCAAAGTTCCCTGTGGTGTCATCCTCAGCCAAAATCACCTCTTCTGTGCAAGAAAAGACACATTGTTAGCACACTGCATGAGGACTGTTTCAGTTTCCTCACTTTACATTTTTATACTGCTTTATACAAGCAGTGTGTGTCAGTGTGTATCTGTAATGAGAGGTCCGTGTGCACTGACCTGCTTTGCAGATCCACTCCAGGTATCCGTTGAGCTCTCTCTCAATCTGCTGCTGTCGCCTCAGCTTGAGGAACTCACTCCTGTTCTCCACTCGCTCCCTCTCTTTGGCAAATTCACTGTGGTCACATTGGATGTGTATTTTTAAATTGTTTTGCTCATTTACCATCAAACATAATATTAGTCACACAACAAATATAGAAGTATACTGTATGGCAAAGTATTGCATAACGCAAAAAGGGAAGGAGGAATATTTAATTTTTCTACGTTTCAAGGGTTAAAGGAAATGTAAAACAAATAATCCTAAAGATAAAAAAAAACATTTTACTGCATTCCTGATATTTTACTTAATCCTCAAGATTTCTACCTGCTTCTCAAACTTGAAATTCATGATGCAAACACATAAATTGTCCTCCTTTGTTTTATTTTTTCTAAAATCTGGAACTATATTAATGTTTGACTTTTTTGTGACAATTTGGCTTTTCTTCTTTTTTCTTTTTTAACTTTATTTTGGCTCTGGGTGCAACTATTGGAATATTTATTCCCAATATGCAAAAAACAAACAAAAAGAACCATTTCTGTTTTCTCTAATAGGAAATGAAAACCGAAAACCTTCTACAATACAGTATTATGTATATTAAGAGAAATGGAACATTTTTACCATGAAGAAATGACTGAAAGTGTTCCCAGGCACACAGAAACTTACCCTGAGAGTACACCCAGCACCAGGTTGAGCATGAAGAAGGAGCCGATGATGATGAGGGGGATGTAGTACATCCAGTTCCAGGCGCTGCCCTCCACATCGTTACTCTGCGAGAGACATGTGTTACAATCAAAAACTTAAAAATGTCCTGTTACTCTGATTCAGATGAATGACCTGAAAGGTAATACGTGTTTCACTTGAAATGCACATTTGCTCCTCAACAATTTCATTCCAATGTTTGATCTTCAAAACTACAGTGTACATTTCTGTCTTAAATAAAGCCTCATCCAGGGTTGATTCTGAATTGTTTTACCAAGAAATATTCCAACACCAGCTGCTGAAAACAGAGAAAGTCATTACTAATATTATTTAAAAAAAAAACTTTTTTATGATGGTGGCATGTTAAATTTGTCTTGTGCACAGTAAGGTTACGGTCACCTAGTTTTTCTGAACACTTCGAGGGTATCCTTGTGCTCTTAAAAAGGTGTTGAGTGCATTTTCTTCCTGTCAAAACATTTCCAAATACGACTCTTTGAATATTTAAAATCATACATTATTGAAATCCTTGTTTGTTTACTGGCAGTCTTCTTCTTCTACACTGTTTTTTTGGTGTGTTTGTGCATATTACCATCACAAGGAATAGTGTGACACCAACAGCATGACATAAAATGCAATACCTATGTTCCTGTCAAAGTCTGTGTGTCCTTGTGGGTGAACAACTGAAACATATCAGAGACCGACACCAAAAAACAAACACAGCTCTACAGCACTACTAGTGGTCACAATCTTCATTGAGTACCTTTAAGAGTCACCCATTCCCCTAAATGTTTTTCAAAATCGTGTATGATGCAGATGTGCTAGTTTTAAAGGGGCTATATGTAACTTTTTACATGTATAAATCAATTTTTATCGCCCATTAATAAGCGAACGGTTAACTGATGTGAAAAAGTAGATGTTCACTGTCTATCTGTGTTGCCTGTATAAAAAGTTTCCCCGGGTCCTATTTTCCGCGAAAGCTCCAGGAAGTGACATTTTATGCACGTTCTCAACGTCCTCCTCACTCCGCTCCGCTTACAGAGATCAACAGTACAAACTCATCACACACTCCCCGTCTTCACCTCCACAGCCAGAGGCCGCCTTCCACACACTTCTATCCGCCCTAGGAGCTCTCAAAGGCGGACAAACTTATCACACACTCCTGCTCTCAGTTTGTAGGATGGAGAATGAATACAGACACACAGACTCCTTCACAGACTTTCACGTGTATGAACACTTACCTCCTCTGTAAACATTATTTATTATTATTTTATCATTATTTGCTCGTTTGTGTATGTACGAGCACGTATGACGAGCACGCGAGGGAGATCGAGCAACAGGTTACTGGTGCAGTTCACATGCCATGCGGCATCGCTAGAAACGCAGTATTTTTGAAAGTTAGATATAGCCTCTTTAAGCTTTATTGTATTTTGTGGTTCACTTTTGGATTCTGTCTCAGCTCTTGCTGGGAGATCCAACGCCAATCAGAGTTTACATTTCCTGGAAACAAGTAATTTCCTTCTACAGCTTTGTCAGGTCTGTCCTGAAGAAGCTTGCATTTTTATTTATTTTTTACAAATCTGCATCGTGATGTTGTCATTTCAGTAAACCTCAGACTCGTTGATTGCAGAATATATGTTTCTTTTTTCCGGCTCATACTGCTGAAGTTCAGTGAACAGACATAACCAGAGGGGCTAATTTTTGCTTCTCTTTTTATATGAATACATGGACACTTCTCCAATAGCTAATTTGACAGTAAATAATGCAGAACATGCTAAAGGAAGTCTTGGATGGAAGTAATTTTTAGCTAACCACTGGACTCACCAAAATGACTGTGAAGTCGGCCATTGATGTTTGATGTCTGTTGTTAAACAATGGGTTCTGGGATAGTCTAAATAGTTACCCTGCAATATATGCAGACTTTAATCTCTTGGATGTTAGATTGCTAGACAAAAGTCCTTTCAAAGACTTTTTAAAGTGTTCCAGAGAACAGAAGCTGTTACTACCTGAAGACACAAAGATGGCCTGATAGAAGTTGGCACCTTTCTCCGTACTGCTCAAGGACCACGGAGACCTGAAGTATTTTATGCAGGCTCAGGAGTGTCCCATTTTCTATCTAAAAGCCTGACCTCAAAGCGGAGACATTGCATTTGCGTGCAGAGACACACGGCATGCGCTGTGAGACGTTCCAACATCTTCTGCTTTCCTGAACACTCGCTGCACTCGGTGACGTCAAAAGCAAGTGACACACACTGCACAGAGCCAGCTGACAATCAGAGAAATCAGGTTACTGGAGGAGATTGTGAGTCTGTGACCCTTGTAAGATCTAAATGGAACTATCAGCTGATGATTATCTGCTGCTGAAGTGCTTAGCGAGTTTGTTAAGTTTTTATACCGCATGGTAGAGTGCGAGCAACCCGTTCTCTATTAAACTTTCATTGGTTTCCTCCTGACAACCTGTGTGAGAGTGGAAGTCAGCCTCTATCCATCAGAAAAGATGTTAAATATAGAGCGAGACGGACGAGAATAGAGAGAGGGGGAGAGGAGGAGGCGGAGAGAGAAGGAGCGGCGAGAAAAAGACAGATGAGGAGCTAAAGAAAGTAAAACAGAGGATGATAAAAAAGAGAGAAGGGGAGGATGAAGAATGGCCTTTGGATGAATGAATGGTGTTTTGAATCAACTATAAAACTATTTTATGCCTCATTTAGCTGAATGGAATTCAAGCAAATCACCATCAGCACCCACACATCCCATAGAGCTCTTCATTGTGCTATAAAAACATACTGTGCAGACCTGATACACATTAGCTGAACAGAAAGAACTCTGCTGCTATCACGACTAGACAGACATACAACTGTGCGAGGTATGACAAGATTTGAGGCTTATGATGGAAAATGTTCTCTCCATTTGATTTCAATTTATGTCCTGGCCTGACAAGGCAAATAGCCAATCAGGATTTTGGGGTGGAACCTTGGGTCTTGGGTCAAGGTCTACGCCTGCGTGCATGTTTTTCATTGGTTACTGTGATGCACTGATCCATTATAAAATAAGTAGTAGTCCCTGTAAATATGATATGAATCTTGAAAATCCCTTTGTGTCAATGTGGGATTAATCTTTTTAACAGAAGCAGATGTGGAAACCAGGCCACAAAGGGGCTGTTTTATCAAGTCTTCGTTTAAAAATCATTCACCTTTTCATTGGTGGTAATAGTTGAAAGAAAACAATTGTCACTGGAAACTATTAAATATTACAAACAGAGTTAAATGGACAGAATAACATACATGGTAGAGCATATCTGTCCATCCCTCCATGGTGATGCACTGGAAGACGGTGAGCACGGCGAACAGGATGTTGTCGAACTGGGTGATGCCGTTGTTTGGCCCAAGCCAGCCGCCCCTACACACCGTGCCGTTCGGACACAACCGAGAAGGTTCTGCTGTTCCACACGGTATCTCGTCCACTACATCATCTGTTAAGAGAGAGAGAGAGAGAGAGAGTACATTGAAGTTATATCACCCAAGTTAACCTTGGATCAAAAAGAAAACAAGACGTTTTTTCTTATGCAAAACATTTATAGTGTGAGAAACAGCAAGCATTTTGACTTGTTTAACAACACGTGCAGATATACGTTTGGCATACAGTAGGTGTGCAGGTTCCAATCCAGAGTCGTGGCATTGTGTATGCTGGTTCATGGCTCAATGGTTAATTTTAAGCCTAAATAGGATGAAGCTACCAACAATGTTGAAAACCAAACCTGTGTTCCTCATGGAATGAGTGACTTTTTGGACACTGGCATCAAGTAATAGAATACTGGTATATGATTTAGTACATGGATAAATGGTTCATGTCAATAGTAAATTCTGTCATTGTTTCCTCACTTGTGAATTCATCATAGCAAGTTTTGTGGAACTTTCCCATGTAGAACTCAAGGCCGATGATGGCAAACATGAGGATGGCCACAAACAACAGTAGGCCAATCTGCAGCAGAGGGATCATAGCCTTCATGATGGACTTGAGCACCACCTGCAGGCCTGGAGGACAAAGAAAGACAATCAGAGAAGCAACATTTAATAAAAAGGATCAATATTGTATCTGAATGTTAGATTTTGTCTGCATTAATAAAGAACACTCTCATGTTGGTAACACTTTATATTACCATCATCAATAAACCATAATCTGAGTTAATAGCTGTTTTACTGCATACAAACAATAAAGGCAAAATTGAAAATGTTGACTTATAAGTCATGTTGTTGTTTTTTGTTTGTGTCATAGAAAATGATTAGTGTATAAATGATGTAGTGCATTATAGCTGCTACCTTCTTACTTTTGTCAGCTATTTATTGACAGGTTATTATTTCAAACATTATAACAACTTTAAATAATATTAAATATTTATTAATGATTACCAAATGATGTAAAGGTTAAACACATTGTTAAACGTTTATCTACGTTTATATAAACATCTATAAAGCATATATAATTATTTAAATAGAAAACTAAAACTTCTCTTTGGTCACCAAATGGTCTGAAAACATCTATAACGTTGCAACTGAGGTTTAAAATCTTTTTTAAATGGTTAATAAGTGTCGTGGCTGACAAAGGCAACAAATTCATCGACGGAAATGTGCTGCAAATGAAAAATAAGTGCTGCAAAAAGGCAGAAAATGTGTAACTTCCTTCTTTGACTTCAATAAAAATAAGAGGACAAAGAGGGACTGCACTGAGAGACAGCACTTATTGGTAAAGCATACAGAGTACTGTGCACACATGAAGAAACACACAGCCCAGCACTTACTGGGAATCCCAGACACCAGTTTCAGTGGTCGCAGCACTCTGACAGCTCGTAGTGTCTTCAGGTCAAACTGAGACCCCAGTGACGACAGGATACTGAAGGGAGAAAAAAAGAGATGAAGTCATTGAGCTGTGTCTTTCAAATCATCATATATCTGTAGAAGCAGAGTAGAGGTGTCTGGCATAACTTCACCAATTACCAAGGTACATGGAGAATGAAGGGCTGGAAGAGGTCAAAAAGCTCCAGCAACACTTAGTAGTGGAATAAATAACAACTTTATTAATGTTATTAGGCTGACATGTTTCGGCTAGTGGCCTTGCAAAAATAATTTACCTTTGTAAATGATGTGTTTCTTGATGATGATCTTCATACTACAAGTGTTCCTGGTTGTCTTTGACCAGATCATAATATATCAAAAACATTCTTACTGGTCAATTTATGGCTACAACATTACTGTGTTTACACTTTTACTGACATTTGTAAATATATTTCAAGTCAAATCTAAAATATTTTGCAGAAAGGAAGTGGTTCACAAGATTTACGGATGAGAAAGTACAACCTCCTAAAGGGTTCAAATGGACATTTTTAAACGCTAAAAAAGCAGTGTATAGCCTTTAACTGTTGTTAAATGGACAATTTCAAGAGGAAGAACTGAACTGTGTCCTTGATTCTCTTACAGAGTGTGTGAAGCCCTGGTGTAAAGCCAGCCACAGACAGGCTGGAAAATTCCATGCTCTGTTTTGTACGGGGGCGGAAGACAGGCCTGTCCAACAAGAGGGTGTGGGGAGAGTGTGGGGGCCTAAAGAGAGGGGATGCTCAGAGGAGGAGGAGAGAGAGAAAGAGAGAGAGGGGAGGAACTGACCTCAACTCAGACACCATTAAAGATTAAACAGCCTTTGATGATAAAAATAAAATGTATATTTTCTGCAGGCTTTATTATTTCTACTCTTTTAAAGCTGCACTTGCTTTGCCAGAAGTTTTTTTTTTTTACAATAAGCCAAATGCTCTCAGTTAGAATCAGTAAACTGAAGAAAATGATTTGTCTCTACTACTCAGACTTCAACGTGATGTTTGTCTTGAAAGTGAGAAGGAGAATCTTATAGTCAATGCGAGATTGACTGGGAGCCAGTGGAGTTGTTCAAGGACAGGATTGATGTGTTCTATGGAGGGGGTTCTAGTGATCATTAGGGCAGCTGAGTTCTGGACCAGTTGGAGTCTATGGAGAAGCTTGAGAGGTAGACCAGAGAGGACAGAGTTGCGATAGTCTATAAGGGAGGTGACCAGGGCATTGACAAGGATGGCGGTGCTGTTAGGTTTGAGAGACGGGCGGAGATGGTTGATGTTGCGTAGGTGGGAAATATGCTGACTGAGTGATATTGTTGATGTGAGCTTCAAAGAATAGAGTGCTGTTGAGGATGACACCAAGGCTCTTTACTTGGGTGGGGGGAGTTGTTGATTGTTATTGAAAAAAATGTCAGAGCGGATTTGGAGCCAACAAGGAGAACTTCAGTTTTGTTGCTGTTGAGTTTGAGGAACTTATGAGAGATTGTGGTGCCAGAACTGAACCGTAACAAAGTTCTGCAGCCATGACGCCCTTGTACTCAAACATTGCAACAGTGATGCCGTATTATTGGCGTCCCAGTGTGTGAATTCACATTGCATTTAGGCACTGTTGAAGCGCAACAGGCACAGCTTGTGAGCACTAGACACACATATTGCATTTCTGCCTCACCAGCTTTAACGGTACACTTCACTTAACAGTCCACCCCCCCCCCCCTTTGTTACTATCTCTGATGGCTGATCAGGGCCGTATACACTTCCCCACACCATTCCTCTAAAAAATAAATTAAAATAAATACTGCTCCTTAAATCGAGTACGCCTGATGTGACAGTATAGTTCCTGATGTCGATTAATTCTGCAAAAACTGAGAAAATCAACGAGAAACAGAGATCCCTGGAAGAAAACTCGGAAAAATTGCAAGTGGGAAACAGAAAGGTGAGTGAGGCTAAACTGAACCTAAACTTTCTCTCTTTTCTATAATCCCTCGTTTTCACCGTTCCGCCTCGACCCTCTCCAAGTTGGTTGCTAATTCCAGGAAGAGGTCATTTATTAGCAGACACTATACAGGCAGCCAAGCTCCTCATTACCTCAATGGCTTTTTAACTGCCCCGGCTTGAGACCATGATGCAGCGCTACAAAACACTGGACCTCAGCAGAACGGGTCTCAAACTGCCTCAGGTCCAGCAGAGATCTGACAAGGTCTCTGTGTGAATAACGGCAAATAGCATAATCTGTATGTGACTTTTGATTTTATTTTCTGAAGTCCCTTGGTATGTCACAATAACAGATATGCCCACATTGATGTTTGCATACATATTTACTGCATTTTCCCTTCAATTTAAGCCAACGTCACATGAAATCTTTTTCAATTTTTATAAATGTTCTGATCATACATTCAGCCGAAAGATTGACTATCCCTAAGCATCAGAAACATGTAAACTGTCAAAGAGTTAGGCATATGCACACATGAATTGATGGACAAAGCAAAAAAAGCTAAAGTGTCACTGTTTCTGTTTTTCTGTAATTCATACTCTCTCTTTTTTTCCCTCTCGATGTATTTCTTTCAGATTGTACTGCTCCTTTTTTCAGGGTGAATGCAGAGCTTCGGTATTCAACCATGCGAGACAGAAACCAGCAGTTTCTGCCAGACAACCCAAACCTCCAGGATGCAGTCACCCCTGGCAACGGCTGAACCTGAACCACAGTACACAGAGGCGGCCAGTAGAGGGAGCAGCGTAAATGGAGGGATAGAATGGAGAAGGAGGGGCATGGAAGGCTGTTCGGATTAAGGAAACAACGAGAGTGTAAAAGGAGGAATAGTTAAGAGTTTAATTGAAAGAGAGGGACATTGAACTGAGTAATCAGGAATTAGTGTCAGAGGAGAGATTAAAAGAGGAAATTAAATGGCACTAGCATTCAGACTATTATCATTCAATTTTATAAATCTGATTCAATTCAATCACAACTTGTTCATATATCTAAAAACAGTATTTAGATACTAACCAGTTTTCAATTAGTGACAAAATTAAAGTGTTAATCAAAGCTTATGCTTTTACAAACAAATTGTTTGAAAGGTACGGTTACAGTTAAACTGTGTGTAGTAAAAATCTTCAGGTTTAGAAAATGGTTTTAGGTGTAAAAATTGACAAAATGTGTATTAATCCACGTCTATAGCAAACCTAGAAATGTTGTCTCTTAAAGGTAATGATGCCACTTTAATATAAAGAAAAACTTTATGGCAGACATGTTAATGTTTGAAAAATAAAAATGATGATATAATAAAAAAACTAGAATACTGGGGATTTCTTCACAACTTATTAAGCTTTGTTGATGTTAGCATTCCTCTTATATGATTGTTTAGTTCAATAGAAGTTAGAGATTTATTTAATTTGCTTATGTTAACATATATGGTTATTTTCTCAAAAAGTCCCATGAATAAAACCTACCCACTTAGTTTGGTGCCCAAACTCGGGTTGATAGATATTCTGCGCTATGCACTGGTACTCTCCAACATCAATATCTATAGTCATTTTAAAGGTCACATAATATACTCCTTTCCAAAAAGTTTAAATACTTCCCAGAGGTGCTCAAAACATGTCTTTGAAGTTTCTTGCCAAAAATCCACTCTGATCCTGTATTTGATCATGCCTATAAACCCCTTTGTTTCACACTCGCTCAGAACAGGCTGTTTTTGTGGGCTTTAGCTTGATGCAAATAAGACATGTCTGACCACGCCCCTCTGGAAGGGCTTGGCTGGCTTGAGCTTTCTAGCAACATGCTGGATTGTTTACGGTGAGAGAGGGCTCAACAAACACCTATGGGTGTGTCACCCACCTGGGAGAGGGATTATTACCCTTTGTGATGTCACAAAGGGAAAATCTCCAAACAGCCTGTTTGAGCACACATTTTCTGAAAAGTGCAGCAGATAGCATATGGAGAGGATGGCCTTTTCTTATAATTGGCAGGTTTGTGGACAGGCTAGGGACACATACTAGTGTTAGAAAAACATAGTGAAGTATATGTTGCATAATATGTGACCCTAATGTAGTAAGAGAATATTAAACTAGCCCAGATGTGTAAAGCCCTGTGTACTTATCTCAGAGTTTTTCCCTTATATTTGAAGTTTAGATACTAATCCTTCTCTTAAATCACTTCCAATGATTTTCCTTCTTTCTTTTCTTTGTCATTAACGACGGCTCAAGTCAGACTGTATGAGAAAAACATACAAAACTATTTCTTTAAATGACTGAAATTTTACAAACACATATGGGAGGTTTCTGCTTATTACACTATCAGTCTAGATTTCCCTTAAGACATACAAACTGGGAGAAGACGGAAAATCCCTCAAGTGACAGAGAGCGAGCAGATTGAAAGAGAGTGATAGTCCTGTGTGTCAAAAGTGTTAGATTCAACTGCGAGAGAGAGAGCACCAGAGGGGGGGGGGAGAAAGAGAGAGAGAGAGAGAGAGAGAGAGAGAGCGAGAGAGAGAGAGAGAGAGAGGAGCAGACTGACAGCGAGCCTCTAGGGGAGAAAGAGAGAGAAAGAGAGATAGCTTTATCAGCCGAGGGAGGAGGTGTTTGGATAGTGATGACAGAGGCTTGCACTATAGGGAAACACCTAACAATCAAACCTGCAGAGTGCATATGAACAGAGAGACACACATAGTTACATTATCCAAACAGGGTATTCAATTTTCCTTCGTCACATTACAGCTCTAACACTATGTTGTGCATTTTCCTGATAAAATAATAACTAAGAATTAAAAGGTAAAGCACAACGAGGTTTCTTAATACACTAAATGAATAGACAAGACACTTAAGTACCCTTATAGCGCTTATACAGTCCATGTGTAACTTAACACTGTAGTAATAATTATATGAAAAGGGATATGAATAGAACATTGATTTGTGAACTGAAAGAAAAACACTTCACATTTTGTCAAGTGATATATATCAACACTCCATTCTCAGACTATTATATGAAGTCCTAATAATTTGGAATCTCAAACTAAAAAGATGGCCGTCT